TAGCAATGGGCAGTTGAAGGCACAGATGGGTAGTCAGCAAAAGTGCAACATCAAAGATTATGCATCCAATGTGGGTGCCTTCTCTTGCTTGCAGGTCCAGGCAGCCTCAATGCCAACAATTGCCAGAAAAGTAGAGGTGGGCACGGCCAAATAGGGTAGGAACAGGTGAACGTGTGGGGCCACGGCATCTAATGTAGGCTTGCCTACAACTCTATAACCATGGTGCTAGACAAGGCTGTGGAAGGGTTGATACCAAGGTCTGAAGTGCAAAAAGCCCATGAGGGGGCAAGTTGGCTTGAGGGGGCCGCATATATTGCATATGTCACACATACCGAAATAGGCAGGGCATGCAAAAAGCCAGCGTCGGTGGGGTGGGAGTATGCATGTCGATTATTGTGATTCTGTCGTGTGCACCAGAAACTGTGAACTTTTAATGAAATCTGTCGATTCGTGGCAGGATGCTTGACCCGTGGGCATCGGAAAGCGCATTCGGTCAAAAGTCCATGTGGGTGAATATTTCTTTTTGCGACAGTGGACTGTTCTTTTTTGCGACAGTGCCATACTACTGTTTTTCGCGATAGTGGATTGTTCTTTTTTGCGACAGTGAATATGACTAATGCGCAAATTGGGAAGGCGGCGGGGCCTTCGAACCAGCTTGCCTATCCGCCCCCGCCCCCCGCCATCCGCCACTGGCCACCAAACGCTACCAGCCGCCGTCACTGCTGTTCGCTGCCCAAGGGATCGTTGTTCTGCTTCCTCGAACTTCACGAGTCAATGCTATGGTTGTCGGGGATCTGGGTGGCGCAAAGGTTGGGCGGCGCCAAATGGGCGCTAGGTTGCGCCAAGTGCTAAAATGCCGCCAGTGGCAGCCCGCCACAGGTCGTGGCTCATAGGTCGTGCCCCCACCTGGCAGCACAACCTGGTCGTGTGACCAGTCAACGGCGCTGGGCGTGGGCGCCTTGTCGGTCGATGCTTGGGCGGCAATGGCGCTGGCAACCAGCACCTTGGCCTCCCCGTCCGGCATCACGATCAACACTCCCCGGTCCCAGTTGGTGGCGCCGTCTCCCCGCGTGGCCAATTGCGCGCAATTCAGGGGGCTAGCATGGCAAAAATAGAGCTTGGGAGGAAACGGGGGGCCTCCAGCCTCAGCCAATTTGGCTGAATCTCAGCGTCAAAATGATCGCCAAACGGCAGCGGCAGAACCCTCCGCAAGGCGGGGACCCTGGGTGTCCCCAAACGCTCCCGTTTCGCCTTTTGGCCCCTTCTCCGAACAGACGCGCCTTCAGCGCCGTTGTAAGAGAAGGCCCCGTGGAGTGCACTGGGGTGGTGTGGCAAATCTGATGCCAACATCTCGCGCATCAATTATCGCCACTGTCGCAAAAAAGAGTATAGTCGGGGTCCCCATATAGCGCCCCCCTAATAGCACCCCTGGCCCCCAATAGCGCCCCCTTTTTGGGCATGTCACCATTTTTGTAGTACTTTATACAGCTTCGCTGTGCAGTGGGGCCCTCAAGCTACTATTGCGGACAACCAAACACACCCAAGAGAGGTGTCCGGTGGATGGATAGTGCGGTGGCTATCCGTTTCTACGAACTTGGCATCTCACGGATGGGCGGACGGCACACCTAGTGCGTCCGCTGTGGGGCCCGGGCCCAAAGGCCTTCCCAGAAGGTCAGGGGAGCCGTGTGTTCCATGGCGGATTTCCATTTATGCATAACGAAGTGGGCACTGCCAACTTGGGCTCCTTGCGGCCAGTAGAATGGTGCAAAGAACGGCGGTCCATTCTGGCCGTCGTCCCCGGAGATAGCGCAGTAACATCACCCTCAAACGGGCAGCTGAGCCATGTCGACAGCCTCAGCAGCACAGCAGTTGAGGGTGCACTCAATGAACAAGTTTTGCCCCTCGCGCAAACAGGCTCTTGACGAAGAACTGCTTGTCGCGACGATGCCAACGGCCCAAGATAGCAGCGGCGACAGCAAGGGCAAGCTTTAAACGTAGCAAAACACCCCACTGCCAGCCAACCATGCAAATGCGCTTGTAGAACCTCTCACAACTGCCGCTCTGAGCGCCGCAATCGGTCGCAACCGCTCCTCAACGGTCGACGAAGTCAAAACGGAGGTCGGGTCCGCAGGTCAGGGCTGCCTCGTTCACAACACATTGGCGTATGATACGGGAAGCACTTCTCTCCGCCTCGACAAGGCTGTGCAGCGACGAAGGGCGCTCACTTCTGCAACAAAACCGTGCTGGCACTGCTGACCTTGAGAGGCAAGGAAAGCGGCTCAGAAAAGGCATAGATTGGCCGCCGCGACCTTCGAAAAGATCGAGCGCTATTGCGCTCAGGCCGTGGCGAACGTTGCGCGCACGGCCAGGGGAGTCAGGCAGCCAGGCTGAGTGCCTGGGCTGCCGCGAGAGACACACATGAACGCCGCACAACCGTTCTTACAGCTGCCAGGCCGAGTGCAACAACACAGAGTTCCCCTCGGCGCTGTCCGCACCCCTCTGGCAAAATACCAACCATTCCTAAGAGACGCTCTTTTGATACCCAGGATCTTTCTGACATGCCCACCGCTTCACCACAACTCAACCCAGGACGCCCCACTGGCCACAATCAGCCACGGCGTGTGACACAAGGGCCACATTCGCACCAAACAACCACACTTCCCGCGGTCAGCCACCATGTAATGCCCCATGGGGCATGTTCCCATCAAACTACCATGTGGTGCCTCCATGCGCCGCTCCTGGATCCGTCTCGCCACAATTCACGGCTGGCCGCTAGGTGGGCTGCCCCTGAACAAACGCACGTGTCCAGTGGCAACCTGGATGTTCCTCAGTACTCCCAGTTGCACTCAGGGCATGTATAGAGCACCCATAATTGATGTTTTGGGATTTCCGCCTCATTGAGTGCCAACCTAATGGATGGTTTTCAGTATGGCAAAGTTGTTGAGGCTGTTGACATCCCCTCTGCACCAAATCTGGACCTCGCGGGTCGCCAGCTGCGTGATATCATTATCTTACTAAACTTTTTGATTAGCCCCATTAATTGGCGACCCGAACAATGGAGGGATAGGGAGGGGTGCCCAATGCTCTGGTGTCCACCTTTTAATGTGCAAATTACTGCAGACTCCAGGGCAGATAGAGGCCATCTCGCAAACGAGCATTTTGTGCAAGCCTTGCCCTTGCCTCTTAAGATTGGTAGGCGGCAGCGCCTGATGTCCAAGTCAAGGCCGATTGATGGCACTCGCGGGTGCCAATCAAGGCAACCGCGGGTGGTACCATTCGGCGCCAAGGGGGAGCAGCAATGGCGAGAGTGTGAGGCCACGTTTGGCCTCCCACTCCCGCCTTTTTGCTGTGACTTTCATGCCTAGTTCCTAAGCGCCGCGCAACCATTGTTGACCGTTGGCATTCGCCCATGTTGCCTACTACTCTAAGCCATGCAACTTGCTCACGGGGGAGTCCCTGGCTCTGGGCGACCTGCCGCATGGGTGGGGAACGGCGATGCGCTTTCATTGTGTGATGCGCCACTTTCAATGATGCAAGCGCTTGGACGCATAGACGTCCCACCAATACGTACATGTGTGGTCGTCCATGAACAAATAGACGGTGCTACACAACCATGCCCATCATACAATGTATCGTGAGATTTCGACTTTGCAAGGCACCACAAGATTCATTACATGCTATGATCAGAGTGCTCTAGGTACCCAGCAGGTTATTACATGAGGCCGTATTGAATAAAAATACAATTAAATGCATTAAAACAAAGTTGACCCAATAGCGCCCCCCTTGTGGCCATGTCACGGGGGGGGCGCTATATAGGGACCCCGACTGTAGTTTGGCACTGTCGCAGAAAAGAACAATCCACTGTCGCAAAAAAAAATAGTAACCGTCCATGCGTAGCTGTGCCATTGAAGTGGTAGAAAGTGGCGCGGATGGCGGACTCACACGAACAGAACGCTGTTTTTATCGTAGCCAGCCCCAAGGTCCGCCAGAGACAGCGAAATCAAGCCTACTCAATGTAGTTCGTGTTCTGGGCTAGATAGTGGCGCTAGCAGCGCAGGCGCCCGGTGATGAACTGCTGAGAGCGGCCGCAAGCGCCACTGGAAGCGAATCGGACGGGCAGGCGTTTTCGCAACGGTGGCAGGGAACTCTTGTGCTGGTGAGCTGCCCTGTCACTGGCCAGCAAGTTTACAGGAGTCGGTTTTCGGGAATGTTCCTGCTGGCGCCAGTCTTTTCCCCTCAGAATGGGAGCCTGTGTTTGTGTCGAGCCAGTGTTCTTGTGGGCAGCGAGATCGCAAGTTGGGCCACCATGCACGACGAAACGTATCAATGCAGCGTCAGTGCCGCTGTGCTGCATTTGGATGGCAACACACCGACCTGCAACTTCCCCTCGATGCGGTCACAGAGCCTGGCACGGAAGCGCCCCGGCAGATGATTAAGCCGGACCGAGGATGCGCCGTAGCATCCTCCCAGGGGATTGTGTGACCCCTTTTTTCACCTGTCGCTGGCCACCCCTTGTCGTTTGTTTTGAGATAAAGTCTGACATTGTCCCACTGAAGCCAGGTACAGTTGTGTCGTCGCCCGGCTGCCCTATGGCTGGATTGGTGTGACCTGCCTGGCACCGTAGGGCAATGTGCAAAAACGAAGGTGCTGGATCCTGCAAGCAACAGAAATCGTTGGCAGAAGAATATACATTTGCAGCCACAAAACCCAGGGCAGTGTGAGAACCATGGGCAGATACATGGTTGCTGGCTGCTCGCATTGAAACAGTTGCCTTATGGTTTGTCCGGTCCTGAGCAGCTGGTGTGTTTCATCTTCAGCCGTTTCTTATGGTCTGTGCACAGGCAGCGAGAATCCTCTTGTTGGGAGGTGCCAAGAGGGCAGGGTAGACTCTGAAGAGAGAAGTGGTGAACATCTCTGCAGCACTCCTGAATTCTTACCATTTCTGGTCCTTTGTCCGTGGTGGCGGACTTGTCTGCAACGCTGCACACCACAGTGTGTTAATGGGGCCTTTCGAGTGGCATGACGAAGGTGAATCAGCTTGCATTTGTTGCTCAACATACAAGTGTTCCATTGGCCCCACACAGTGGCACAGCACCAGTCACTGTGTTGTTGTCTCACAAATGGACATTTTTCCAGGTGCATCTGCCTCTCGACAGTCAAATGTTCAAGAGCAGGGTTGGGAAAATGTGAAATGGGAGTGGCTGTTTGCAGGTTTATGCGTGGAGCTAGCTACAGAACATAGACAGGCCTTGGATGCACTGCATCATCTGTACGATAGGTATCCATGGAATGAGAAGGAATTGTCTGCTTCTTGCATCAGAACAGCTCCTGCAAGGGCATCCTAGCCCCCCAACCCTCATATTCAGACAGAAAAGTCATTCTTTCAGTTTTGTGGATGTTTTTCATGGGCTGATTGTATGTTGTGCCTGCAGACGGCCAATTCGTTGATGACGGTCTTGTTGTCACTGGTATCATCATAGCAGGAATCTTCCTGCTGGTCTTATCCTTCATTGTTATTCACTTGCTGAGACGACTGGGCTTCTGCTATGGGGCACAGCACTCGCACAGCCAGTCTGTGTCTGAAGAGTACAGGAGATACAGGCAGGAGAGGCTGGACACCATGTATGCACATGTTAGCGTGGCCAGTGGACAGGGATCCCCACATGAGTGGATCTCCCCTGGTCAACATACACAGTACCTGCGTGTGAACAGCCAGCCCATCCCATCAGTGGGCTCAAGGGATCATCGTGAGCAGAACGCATCTTTGGCCCAGGGGATGGAGTCAGGAGGGAACCCACACTCAGGGAGGCTCACATACATTAGGTTTTCGCCATCAGGCATCCGTTACACCAATCAGTCAATCCTGGTGCCCAGTTCGGGAGTAAGAAGGAATTATACCAACATGGTGCCCATCCTGCCTCGTGGGGCCCGGACGCAACCAATGGATGTGCAGAGAGGCAGGCACAGAGGCAGGGTGCATGCAGCGTACTCCCCGTGGACTGACTCCTTTGTGGGCAGCCCTTGTGCCTTGCTGGGGCCAAGCAGAGACACAACAAATGGGAGACTAGTAGGGGAGGGGGTACCGGTGTCTGTGGAGGGCTGCACCAAGGACCATGAAGGCTTTGAAGATTCCAGTTCCGCCACTGCAGAAGCATACCTCCAGCAGATTGTTGATCTGTTCACTTGCCCAATAACCCATGTGAGAGGGTCTGTGGGATACCCCTTTTGCCATGCTGGCCTGTTGCTGCTGTGTGCCTGAATATGCAGGTGTACTGGCCCTCTACAACTCTCTGTTTTCCGGTGCGGATTGGTGTTCAGACTCTTTTGCTGCACATTGTGGTTGTTCAGTCAGATGGACGATTATATAGGGCCTGGGCTTGGGGCATGTAGATGGAGCAAGTGGTGTTCGAACTGCTTGATTGTTTGTTCTTGTGCACAACCAAATGTACCATGGTGCACTCTCTGCTGGAAGTTCTTGGTGGCTCTTTTTCGATCCCCTTGCCACAACCACCAGTGAAGCTACTTGGTGCTGGGCTCATCAGCATGCACGCAGGTCAATGTGGTCTGTCCGCAGTGCCAGCCTCAGGGGGCTGTCAATAGTTCTTGGAACAGCTTGTTACATCAGACCAGGAATGAAATGCGCCGCTGTCCCATAACGGCAGTGGTGCGGGAGCAACCACTTTGCATATGCACATGCTTGTGCAGATGGTCTACAAATTGACCTTGCTTCTGTTTTTGCACTATGCATAGGAAATCATGGTCGACCCTGTGATGGCAGCAGATGGCTACACATACGAAAGGAAGGCCATAATGCAGTGGCTCAAGGCACACCGGCGTTCCCCCATGACAAACGAACCATTGGTTGAATTTGTACTGATTGCCAATCATGGCCTGAAGTCCATGATTCAGGACTGGAAGAGCAGGTGTGAGGACGAGGGGAGAAAATAATGCTCTGAGAGAGGTTAGTGCCTATTGCCCAGGCCTAGCTGCAGTTATGCCAGGCACATGAAGGTGCTTAGCACACTGTCACGGATTGTTAGGGCGCTGGCACACATAGATCAACATGATCCATGGATTCCAGGAAGATCCAGGAAGATTGGCAACAATAGACATGAGAAACACACTTTCCCAATTCCAATGCCATGACTAGCCCTGCCTAAGCCACAATGGATTGAACATGATTGTTGCTGTTTGCAACACAGGGAGTCTGATCACACCCTGGTGCAACGTGCACTATGGTACTAATACTTAGTGAGGAACAAGTTCTGACGAGTGTTGTGGAATAGAATTCCACCCTTTGAGTTTGGGCTAATTGAGCATGACACTAGTCAGGAGTTATGCTTTTGTGCATGCTCGTGCATACTGTAGTGCGGACAAACGACAATGCAGAAAGGTCAACCGCCAATGGTTGTGCATGCGGCTGCATCATGCTATGTGTTGAGGGTTGTTTTCAGCTTAAAGACACTGCCAGATAGCTCAGAGTGGGCTATCGCAGGAGGCTGACGGGTGGGTAGATGTGCAATTAACATTGGTGGGCGACAGAGCATGTCACAGGACCCTGGGAGAGCAGCAGGACGGCACCAACTGTTTTGTGGGCATCATGATTGTGTTGTGTATTCATTCAGGCAGGTGGTAGAAGCGAGTGAGGAGCCTGGTTGGGTGTGTATGTGTCACTTTGTAGAAGAGTACGTGTTTTTGTTTTCTTGCAGTTTGGGGAATTGGCACTGAAGGACAACACATTCTGTAAATTATTCACTGTTGTTGGCGACAAGCTCGATTTGGATTGTTGTGGTGAGCAAGGTCGCTATGCAGATAGTGTGTAAGACAATGGTTTCCATTGGGCGGTTTACCATGTGCAGACATCGTGCCTGTGGAACTCCACCATAATCCCCAGTACCCCGTGTGCGTGTTTCATCAGTAATCGACAGCACGGGACCCAGAATCTGTGACTGTGTCATCAATACCTGCGTGGCGGACTTTTGGGTTTTTGCCTTCATACATTAAGTATACAGCGAGCGGAGAATTCGATCAGATCTTGACTGGGTTCAATATGGGAATGTGCAAGTCGATATTTCGGCTGGTTGGCATGGACCCTCATGGGCACTCGCCACTTTGTGGGACATACAGTTGTCGACTCGATCGGCAGGACTGTTGAAGCGACACTCGCCACACGCAACATGCTAGTGCTCAATGCAAAGAACCCCCTCCCGCTCCCTTTGGAGACAATGATCAGCGACCTTGGGTTGATGTGACGGCAGCTTAAATTCTTCTCGCATCTAGATTCAGCCGCTGGACAGCTTGCGCATCTACATATGGGACGTCAAATGATCTGTTCCTTCAAACAGATATCGACTTGGCACCACCATGTGTTAAGAGCGAGAATAGGACCGGACTGGATCAAGACTGTTTGGCGTCACTGCATTCACACGCTGCGATCGCTCTTGAACTCGATTCTGTTGTGGGCCAAATGATCGGCTGCATTTAAGAGGCGATTACCAAGACAGTTCCACAGAAGATATTGTGCCAGTTCTTTCGTCCATGATGGCACCCAGGCAGGAGCGCGAGCCGCTTGGAGACGAGATTTTAAAGTGGAACACTTCCTCAAGGCAAGGCAGAATGTTCGACGCGATTTGGCGTCAGCCAAAGGTGATTCACAGCGAAACTTCCCTGAACGACGCGTCGTTCAGTCGTCCACACGTACGTGTGATCTCCAAAAGGAATTGCTCGGCAAGGTGATTTTGCGGTTGTGGAGCACTTGAGTGACAGGCAAGTAATCGTTTCCGACGAAGGCAAATCAACTGTATTTGCGTCAGGTCGCTTCCCATCTTGACCACCAGCCACACTGAACATTCAAGAAAACATCGAACTGCATGGAGAAACAGGGATGCCCCGGGAGACACATCATCGGTGACAGTGACGGTGGGTAAGCCGCGAAGGCCATCAAGTCCAAAAATGCAAGGGAGCCCCAGGATTGGACCTTGCCACGGTGGAAAGGCATGTTCTCAGGGTCTTGGTTAGGGTATGCTCGAGATTTGCCTGCGGCGGATATGGCAGTTTCGGCGAGTTATTGATGGTCGCAAGTCCACTGTCGAGAGCGACGAGCAGGGTGACAGGTACGCTGCGCTCTGAAGGAGCACAGCATCGGCTTTCGTTGACAGAGATTTGGTGTTGATCCGCAACGCCTTCTGGTGATCGCTGCCAAAGGGATTGCGAATTGACGATCGATACATGAGCTATGCGAAATACTTCGCATACTTCATTTGTCGACTGTCAATTCGTTATCCTTTGGGCAATAGTACCCAGTCGGTAGAAAAGACACTACCCTATAGTATTACTTATCCTATTCAATGGGCTATTGCTGGGAGCGACAATGAGGACGTTGAGTGGTATAACCTAGGCTGTCCTCCAATTTCTGGGGCAGTGCTGAAGGGACAGAAAAGCTGAATAGATGTGCACCAGCCACGGGGCCAAAAATACCAGCATGTGGATCGATAGGGATGTCCACAGGAACTTTTTCTTGCACTGCGAGGGTAATAACGGCCTCTTCATGGCTTATTTTGAGCAACTGCATGATCTGTCAGCATCCACACCCTCGACCCCTTCCCCCCGCGCTCCCCATCCCCTAGCGCTCATTGACCGCTAAGAGTACAAATTCAGCAAAGTGTCTTCCCTAACGCACTCGTTGTGACGCACAAATCGATGTTAGAGTCGAACCGCTGCGAAATACCCAATTTGAACGCACATCCACCAGCGGACACACAGCAACGGGGCTCATCTGATCGAAAATGCCTGTGTCTTATTGGTCACCGATGGCAGATGCGCAGCACCGGTTGACCGTTTTGGTTCAACCAAAGCAGGTTTATACCCCGTCTCACGCAATTTCAGGCACGTGCGGTGATTCTGGCGCACCCACCTTTGGAATTGACCAGAGCCCAAGCCCTGATTTTACAAGTAGTGTAAGTAAGAACCCGCCGACCGCCACGCAGCGGCGCGTTTCCGGGGAATAGCCCGGCGGGTGGTCGGAGGGCGCGGCAGGCATCATGCGGCGTTTGAGGTCAGCTCGGTGTCGCTGCATCATCGGTTTTAAGAAGTGATGGAATGTGTTGAGAGTGTTGGATTCCCAAGCGCAGCAGTCTGATTATTCTCTGTGTGTGGAATGTGTCAGAAATTGAAGTATGTAATAGTCTGAAAGTGTTGCACGTGGTGTTTGTTGTGTATTTGACTGTCGATATTTAGCCCACGCCCATGTTTGGCCATTCGACGTTCATACAGCCTCACCTTCCTACCACGAACGGGATCGTGTTGTGCATGATGACAATCGCCATGAGCATGACCAGCATTACCACCATCAGCATGACTATGAACATTGCCTTCACCGTGATCATGAGCATGACCATCACCATTGCCATCATGTTAACCATGCCCGGTGCGTGCCATGCTGTGAGCTGTTGAAGGAGCTGTTGACCGTCCTCGATTGCCTTGCCATAAATGTCACTGTGCGCATCATTATGAATATCACCATGGCCATGGCGACATGAACGTGAGCAGCATGAGGTGCATCAGAGGGAGTGATGGCTATCGCAACAGCAGTTGCAGCGTTACCATGAGTGTCATTTCGGGCATTGTTGAACATGCAGGGGATGAAATTCGGCATCATGATCGTGCTTGTTGCTTTGATGTCATGGTTGTTGTGAAGCATGGCTACCATCTTAAGGCACAAGATAGTCAGGTATCGGTGGTGGAGTCGTGTGCTCGTTTGCAGCAAATGTGATGGCATTGCGAGTTGTTGGTGAGTGATGTGGGCTTGCCACAACGTTATCTCAAGGGAGTGCGATGACAATGTCAGTGTTGGAGGGTGGAGATGACAGTTGGGGAATGGTGCGGATCGCGGCCTGGATTGGTTGGTTTATGAATCGGTTGAAGAAGGCAACGTAATATACCAGCAGCAGCCGGTGCGCTTGCAGATTTTGCACATCATCATGGTGATGGTTCTGTGTTTTGGATTGTTGACTTTGCTGCACTTTCAAGAGTCGCCGCTTGCGCAGCAAATTTCAAGTTGTTTGCCACATCGCCATAGTCCAAAGCTGTGCAAGTTTCATGATGAATTGATCCTATGATGAATAAACCCTTAAAGAGCACAGGTGCTGGGCATTTGGTAGTGCGGAAGGGCACGTATATCATCATGTTTCCGCAGCAACTCTACTCTTGTTTCCGCCGTAGCCACAAATCTTGGTTGGAGGCAATGCAGTCACGTATTGTTGCCATATGCGTCATCAGGCACATTATCGACTTTGTATGAATATATGTGCCCATCCATAGTGAAGTACAGTGTTCATGGCACAGATTCGGAGCAGTTATGCAGGTAATAATAGTGACGAAAATGTTGCATGCACGAAGCTCCTTTCAACCATACGTTGAGGAGAAGTTGCCTCACTTGGCTGACTTCCACCCTTGAGTATGTCAATGCCGCTTGAGACCGTGGCAAACCGACTCGAACTGCACTGTGGAAACGGCACCAAAGCGAGTAGACCGTTGGCAGCAGTGGTGTGAATTGTTGAATTTTGTGGGTGTTACAATTGAGGTAGTGGTCAAGAATGTTTCTGGTGTTGCTCGTGGCATGTTCCCTGATGCCAGAGCCATAGTGGAGAGAGGTAAGGATCGAGGAGAGCGAAAGTCACTTGAGAGCAAACGAGAGAAGAGAGGTAGCACGTTACAAGAAAAGAGTGATACAATGCAACGCTGAAGTTCAGCAATAGTGCGGGAATGCATGTGTCGTCTGCCAGCAACGTCTCTATGCTTGTTTGTAGAGGACCGCAACCACCACCTGCCCGCTGTGGCAGGCTGCGTTTATCGTGCGTGTGTTACTTTGCCCGTGTGTGGCGTCGCTGATGCTGTGCTCCCGCTCAGTCTGCGCACACACAGAGTCGTCAAATGTGGTGACGTGGCCACAGGCGGTGGTTGCCAATATACCTCGCGACGACTCCAATGCAAGCAAGCCCGGAAAACGGCATGGACAACGACGAAGGGGCAAGTGCGGCAAATTGCACAATTCTTTCTGCGATGACGGCAGCAATTCATTCGGTGGTGTGGTCAGTCAGTATTGCGCATGGGATGATGCCATTTCACACACCAGCTGCACAGCAGGTGCACATACACTTGCTTGCTAATTTACCCGCCACTTGAGTTGAGCGAGTGCTGTGCGTGCGACAGCAGCAATTTGTTGCAGATTCCATGAGGCTGATCTTCTGCGGTTTTCCAAAGCATTTCTGCACTGGCTGCAGGTCTCACCTTGCGCTCGCTTGTTCACCTTGCTCTCGACGTCTTCACCCCAACATTTTTTCTTGCGTGCTTGTGCGGCTGGTGGTGCCCGCACTTGTGCTGTGCCTGTGTGCACACCAACAGGAGTCATGGAAGCATTGGGTTCACCAGGAATTCAGCTGAGCACTGGATTGCACTGTAGAGCATCCATAACATCATTGTAACGTTGGTATAGCCTTCTGTGCAGCGTAAAATATGAATGCGCTGCCTAAACGCACCGCTCGGTGTTGTCAAAGGCTGCAGGAGCTGCACAGTGCAGCATGCCTCCTGTCGACCTCAATGCAAACAAGGAAAGAAGATGGCGAGGACAAGCACCAGAACGGAAGTGCGGGAAGTTGCAGAATTCATTCTGTAATTCGTTCTGTAATGAAAACAGCGATTCATTCGGTGGTATGGTGAACCATTGCCGGGAATGGAACGACAGGAACTTCACACACCAGTTGCACAGCAGGTGCATATACATTCTCTTGCTGTTCCGCCCTCACTTCAGCTGGGTGACTGCTGCGTATGCGACGGTAAACAACTTGTGCAGCTGTTCAAAGCACTTCTGCACTGCCTGCACTAACTGAAGGTCTTATCCTCTGCTCCCTTGCACACTCCACGTGCTCAACCCTGGATTTCTTCCTGCCTACTGGATGGTGGTGCATACGCTTGTGCTGTGCCTGTGTCCACTGAGCTTCTTCCATTATTTAAATCTACAACCAGTGCTAACTCATCAGAGATCATCAATTAGAGAACAACAGCCAGCCATGCTCCAAATCACTGCACCATCGCCAAAGCCAAATAATGAGAAATATTGCAAGAAAAGCTACATATCGTGTTTAGCGGTGTAGCATTGGCAACATAAAAAACCAATCAGCAGAACAATCCGGTGTCTGATGAGCGAACGAGTGAAAAAATCATCAACTACAAATGCCTTTTGTGATAACAGCTCAATTTAGCTCCAATGAAGGCGTTATCTGCTATCGCAAAACATGAAGGAAGGAGAGGCAAAAGCATAACGGGAAAGAAAGGAAGAAATGAAAGGCCAAAAAGTTAGTATCGATTTAATACTTTTTTTATGACGAAACCTTTTGTTCTGCTCACCCGTCAGTTTGAGCTCTCCGAACCATGTGCTTTGCTTGGGATGTTGGACATGCGATCTCAAGGCCTGATGTTCTTTTACGTGAATGCCGGATCAGCGTATCAGAGATCTGTTTGCGCCCTCAGTGTTTGCACGGAAACTTGCACCGTATGGGCTTGTGAGCTTGCGCGACAATTTCTGGATGTTGATGAGCTCATTTTGAGTTATTGTTACCAGATCTGGTGGAAGCATTCGCGGCGGCACTCTGGAGCACAAGAAGGCGTGTTGGTTATCCACAAGTGCGGTAACTTGACTGTGGAATTCGTGATGGAAAGAAACTTGATGTGAAGCACATTTGCTCTGAGGTGGCCGACTTCCTACGTCATGAAAAGGTGTTTATGAACCGAATTTGAAAGCGGGTATTTATGTGCTTTGGCTCCCAATACCCAGGGCACTCTGCTATGACAAGGACGTTGGTGCTATGACATGGTCGTTTCTGTGTGAATGCGGCCGTTTTGGGGTGATGGACCCGTGATCGTTTGAGATGTAGTGAACTGAATCATGGCGGCCGGCGTTTTTGTAATTTGATGGGCTAGCGTAGTGAATTTCAGGATACAACTCATAATGGAGACCAGTCCCCTAGCCGGTGAAAATCGAACTCACTAGAAAGCCCGAATCTGTTCGTGACATTTATTGTTCTGGTCGTTTGTGACGTCAGTTGAGTCCTAATCCTGTATCCGACCAAGCACCTCCAAGTAACTTTGAGGATCGCGGGCACCAAAGTTGCCATGGCTGGCCGAGTCGGCTCTCTTTGGTCGAACAGCCCCATGCGCTCCAAGCCTTTTGGCACGCCCCTAAACTGAAAAGACTGGTAGTGTTCCAATTCGCTCGAGTTCAAATGCAGTGCGTTGATTGCACACAAGACTGACTGGCATCTCGTCGCATTGTGCGCGGAATGTGGACTTTGTCGAAGGCTGACCCTCCCGCCATCTCGAAGCTGGAGTTGGACTGCGTTTTGGCCCTGCAGCATCAGGTTCATTGAAGTCTATCGTGCACCCACATAAGTGAACAACGCTTCCTTGATGATGTGATGATACGTTTTGCTCATTCTACTCATCAGCTATTTGCCGATGGGCTTTCACGAAGGGCGACGTTGCGTGGGTGCGCCGGTAGCTTGAATCTGCGGCCAGCATTGTACGGCAATTTCTGGCCACGCCCCTAGGATCTCCGTCTCACTGTACATAGGATCCATGTGAGTCCACGGGGTTCAACGGTGGCGATTGGAAGTTTGCCGTCCTTGAGTGGCGCATTTGGGTGAGGCTTGATAAGAACAATTTAGCCACCACCTTCGGTTCCCACTCTCAGCAGTCGGAATCGAAACAAGCCTGTTTCGACCATGCACTACCACATCCTTGAGAATGAAGCTTTTTACTATGCGAGGGATTTATAGGGAGTTGAGTGCGGGAGTCACCCTTGACGAAGTGTTCAGTGCGAAGCAGCTGGGATGGCTAAAAATGGTAGTGGTGGACTAAAATTGTTAGTGGTGTGGACTTTCCTGCCAATTGAAAGCATTACATGGCAATGCCCCCAAGGTATTACCATGATGGGACATGTTGGCGGGCCGTAGAGATCAGGCAGAAACGCATTTATTACAACAGAAAACATACGCTTTAGGCTACCAGAGCCACAGATCGTTCGCTTAGAACTTGGCTGCATTTTCTGGAAGAAAATGGGAGCATTTGTACTCTCAGAGACGTAAAGTGCATCGTCAGAACGGCTGTCTAGCTGCGCGATCGTTCCCTGAGGCTCCCGAAGTCCGACACACGACAGTGGATGACACGAACAAAACGTAAATAGAAATAAAACAATACTACTGTATGCAAGGGATATGCCTATTGCACAGGTTGCCTCGAGAGGCGTTTTTCACACAAGATGCCCAATTCCGTGCAGAATATTCACTGTATCTTCGCCATGCAAGTCCTGCAGAACCAAAGCCACACAACATTAGACGATGGCTAGTGCAAGGGATTCAATCACGGCCAGGGTGAAAAAGTCAAACAGCATGATTTACAGAAGCGCGCATCTGTCGAGGGAGATTACGTTCTTGTTCCGTTCTGCAATGCAGGCGCCCGTGCCATCGGATGTAGTAACAAGTTTAACAATAGGCGCGTACCGGTCGTTTGCCCATGGCCCCTAGGTGTGAGGGCACATCACTCAAACAATCACATTCTACAGTTGCAATGATTGTGGCAGCAACAAAGCGTCACAAAACCAGTCTTGAACAGACTTCGTAGGGCAGGTGCTTTTAGTCAATTATTTTGAGGAGTGCTAATAAGTGCTCCCTGGATCAGGGATAAGAGCAGTCTGCAAAATCAACCCTCCGAAGATTACCTGATTTTGCAAGAAGGACCAGTCCGCCGCTTGACAAATGTGCTCATCACAAGCTTGCCGTCATCACAAATCCCAATTTCCACGATGCTCATCCCGGCATAAGGGTCTGCCCAACAATTGCTGCATGATGAACAATGACATTCAGGCACTGCGTAGTCCATTTTTAAGAAAATGGGGCCATTCAAAGCAGCGGGCGGTTGGCAGAGGGCTCCTCTTACACTTCCTCTGCCCCATATTAATTGTCGTCAATATGAAAGAGAATTTCGCTGTAGAAGCGGCATCTACATTACATTAGAAAAGAGGCCGAAAATAGTTTTGGTCGTTTTGGAGCGAAGATTCGAGGTTTGCAAGCCAGACGATCCTTGCTACAAAGCGATCCCAAGTCCACAAAACTCAAACTATTGACTTGATTTCTCGACTTCATTCTCCGACCCCTGGGCATAGAGCCGCATGTGATGGAGAAATAATGTGCAAAAGTCATGGACGACAATTAATATGGGAAGCAAGTAAAATCATAATGTCACCACATGCACCTTGTGCAATGCTGTTCTCAATGATATTCACAACACTTACCTTTCCAGGCTAGATGGCACAAGTCCCATATATCTTGTTATAGGATGGGGGAGACACCTGGACTCTGAAGTGTGAATAAAGAAAACTCTTGCAGGCGAACCAGCAGTAGTCTTCATGTTTCACCACGTGGACAACAACAGCTTGGTACACTGTTATATTTGCTGTCTGGGGAGCAGACTGTGTCAAATGTGGCGATAGAAAGCACTGACCACTTAGGAGATTGACACTGCTTGTCCTTTCAGGGACAGACAGTGGGTGCAAATGCGCTGCCTGCATACTGAACTTACTATTGTCTGAAGCCAAATGTCGTCCTCACAAGCGATATCCTGGACATGCCTTTCCTCTTGTCCCTTCTGGGGACCATCACGCCCTCTCGTGACCAGGGGGTAGCTGCTGTTGGTATTGGGATGCCAAACAATTTGGGCTTCACAAACACCCGATCCTCATAGACAACCACCTGCAAAATTCAACATTTTCAACGGTCAATAATACCCCAGCCGCCCACACACTCAGCACATGTGCTGCAAACTCCATGACACAATGTTCAGCTCACTGCAGAAACTGCTAACTACGAATATGGACTGACAACTTGCAAACCATGTGCTTGTTCCACTTCAGTGACAACTCTGCACTTCAGCAGGGAGATCCACAACAACGACACAGCAAGCAGTTCTTCTCGATGTAATATTTGGGTATGAAACAACAAATCACACAGCAGGATCGCCTCACAAAACACGACAATGCTTTTTCCTGTTAAGTATATGAAGTTCAACAAGCCCAAAAGGTCGTGAGCAACCAGAGGATGTCACACACTATAGTGGGCACCTAGAGTTCTAAAACCCAGATAGGATGCAAAAGAAGATTTGGCCTGGAGACAACCAGAGTGCAGCAGTAACAGAACTAGACACTGCCTGCACAGACACCTGTTGCACAAACACCGTTGCCACCTCTGCTTGTATTCTTGACAAGGAATGGGCAAGGGGATTGATAATCAACAAGGCACCTGTTACCTAAAATCGCCTTGTTGGCAAATGAGCTGCATTCTGTCTTCTTATGGCAATGCAATGAAGAGTAACTACACACCTCTGTTTGCGTGGCCATGCCAAGTGCCCGCTTGAAAACCCATGGCAACTCCATCACATCACATAATGGTGAGGGGTCGTCACTCTCCTCAGGAATTCGCTGCCAAATTCCTGTACATCGGTCAATCAGCTCCTCAAGCTTCTTCACTCCTTCCCCCATCTCATCCTGCCTGGGGACATCTGCCAGGCCTGGGAGCCTGACCTTCCTAGCTGACAGGTTCCCAACCCAATTTCTGTTCACATCGTCAGTGCCACCCCTTGCGCTCAGAGCTGGGTATATTGGTTCGAAATCTTCCACACTGGCTTTCAGTCTGTGTGGCCGTGGTGGTCCCCTGTCCCTGGCCACTATGGTCCCACTGTTTGCCCTTGCATGTTGATTGTCGATAGATCTGTTCGTGCCCCTGGCAGATTCAAAAGGTGCCAGCATCACCTCCCAAGTGTCACTGCAGTCAAAGAATTGCTCGTCCACCCAAGATGTGTTTGGACCATGGGCTGTGAATTTCTTGTTGTCTGTGCCTGGGATACTTGGGCATAGGCTCTTCATTCTGAGATCTGCAAACCCCTCATTAACACCAACAGTCGCTTTCGCCTGAGATGTTGGCTGCACTGCTCTAAGCGGATAGCCTCCCAGAGACCCTCCCTCTGGGCACTCATCGCCCCCATCAGACACTCTATTTACCAGTCTAGAGCCACTGTTTCGCCACCGAAAGCTTGCCCATATTGACTTCAGACGCCCAGGGGAACTTCCAGACACCGGTGTCCTCATCTCCCCCTCACTGGCAGTGTCCCTATCTGGCCCCTGGATGCCATTCTCCGGATATGCACCCTGATCATCCACTGGGGTGGCACACATACAGGCAAACCGAGCAAACCGTGTTGCAGTCCTCTTTACAGGTGACCTGACCTCAACCTGTTTGCCACCCTGAAATGGCCTTAACGGCTCACCACTTCCAACCCTCTGAGGCTGAGTGTCTTGGCCTGATACAAACAGCTCATTTGACACAGTCTGGAATGAATCAGTGCCCTTTTTTGTACTCTTGCTGCTCTGAAACGATGTTGCCGGTGCCATGTTCCTCTGAGAGGCACCAGCTGTACAGAAATGCAGGGGCTGACTTGCAACAAACAGGTGGTTCTGACTTGTCTTGAATCCTCCGGGGCCCTCCTCAGAGAACTCTACACTGATCGTAGCTTTGAATTTGCCGGAGCTCATGTGTTGGAGCCTCAGGGGTGGAACTGCTGGCATGTCCTTTGACTTGTTTGAAGGTAGTGGAGTACCCTCTGCAGCTGGAATACCAGTGGCGATGCACTCCAGGGGCCCTTGCCTGGGCTCGTGACTAAAGGGGAAGGACTCCAATGACCTGGAGAGAAAATCCAACGATTGTTATTTTCCAGGTAGAATGTCCTAGCCAATGAAAACCAGCCCCAACAGGTGATGCTGAAGGATTCCTCTGACAGAGTGATACGGAACCTGATGTGACCTATACAGCAAAATCATTGCAACGTACAAACCTGGAGCGAGCGTGCAGCCTGCTCTGTTTATGGCCTCGCCAGTCCAGGACATTTGCCTCGTCACGGTCATCCAAGTCCAGCAACTCCAAACCCTCCTCTGCTGAGTGGAAACTGCATTCTGACAAGGCGGTGCACCATGATGACGACTGGCGATGGTGAGCAACCTTTTTTGGGAGAGGCCTTGTTGCGGAAGGGGTTGTGAACATTGTGCTGTGCGATGTGCCCACTGCTGCGTATCTAGCTAGCCTGGAGAACAGACAAAGACATTCGCTTTCAGAGAGCCAATTGCAGTCGCAGCTGCCCTTTGGCAACAAGAACCATCGGGCAAGTTACTGCATATTGCCATAGACATTTATCCTTGCTGCTGAAAGGGGAATGTGTTACCACACTGCCAGGCATACTGGAATTGCTCCCTATGCCTGTTTTTTGCACAGACAACTTGCCAGAAGGTACAACAAAAAAAGCGAGACAAACAAGAATTCTATCCGGTTTGTTTCACGCTGAACTGCCCGTGGCTGAGGCGAACGGCCAACATTTCCACCAATTGGACAATTGCCATCAAAGCGAAATCCCTTCAACCTGACCGAATTTTTCTTTTGCCCATGATGCGATTCGAACAAGACGGCCGTAGGCATTACTGCCACTGGCATCAGCAGTACGCATTGACGCCGCAAGTACATTTGTTCGCATATCTACGTAGTGCTGGCGGCCCATTACTAGAGTGAATCAATGCGACTTGCCAGCCAATCTTCCCAACAGGGGCTGCCAGCGCTCCACGGCTGTCCACCAAAGGACCCCGCACTCCACGAACGCCTCTCGCAAAACCGAATCGCCACCTCCAGCACCCCTCCCCCCTTCCAACGTGCACTACTCTCAGATCTGCAGTGCGATTCGGTTCTGCGCCAGCGCCCCACATGTCATCATGGGCGGCAAAGCGCAACGAGCGGGCCTGATGAGCCATCCACGCGCCGCTGTCTTGAGTTGACGCGCGCACGCTGGGGCCACACGACCGCGCATCAGCGAAACAGAACCGCCCCAGCGCGCGGCCTGCTACATCGCGCAATGCGGGGAGCCCAAAATCTGCGTGCGGCCACAGGGAGGGCGAATTGCGCCTCGGCTGGCGGTCCACACGGTTTGGCCAATGATGCGCACGACGGATGCTTGCCGGATACCGTCATTCCCGAATCTGCGGCCCATATGGTTTGCGCTTCCCACGGCGAGCAGCCGAGCACAGACTGATCACCGCCACAGCGCGTCCAGGTCGAGGCGTCCAAAGTCTGGCAAGCAACCTCGCCAGCCGGTAAACACAGATTGTCAATCGCCAGCTTGCTTCTCCGAACAGGCCGTTGCTGTCAGCGCCGATAGCAACCATCCTGGTGCAATCCGATGCCGATGCCATCCAGCAACCCCCAACTGTGCGGAGCGCACCTCTGCTGCTGGACAACGTCCTTGGCCCCACCTTCTCAAAGCAGTCTTCGCCGCATCGAATGGCGCCCCGCACGTCGCTGGCAACCACTTGCAGGATGAAGGTCTTCCGAATTGCTTTCCTTCTCGCTTGGGCACGATCCCGTTCCAGGGCGAGGACGGTTTTGTGCCGCAGGAGTCCTCCCCGCTTGTCCTCCGAGCGGCCCGGCCGTCACACAGGAACCTCTGTCCCAATTCTTGTAGGCATGGTGTTGTGGCCCAAGCCCTGATGAGAAGCCGTCCGAGGTCGACAGGACGGGGTGATCCACTTGCCGTTCGTCCCTTTCCTGTGATGAGACCTTGCGAAGGTGGTCACAGGGTGCGGAACTGCCGCTAATTCCCCGTTGAATCGGCACAAGGGGCGCGCAGCGCACGTTGCAGTTCCGCATTGTTCACCATGTCACTGTCACACCGCGATGGGAGAATATTTAGTCCCCACATCTTTTCCGGAGGGCCCCTTCTTCTTCTGCTGACAAGGCCAACGAAATCAGTTTTTTTAGGGTTTGTGGTGTCGAAACTAGTATCGACAATCGCAAAAAAGACAGGGCTAATTTCATGCCCGGCAATGGCCGTGTCGCCAGTAGTGAGTATTGTTTATCGGCCTCTATTGGCACGTGCAGGGGCATGTCCAAGTCAATTGTTGTAGCGTGTGCCCACGACCGCGGTCCCAATGCAAACAGCGCTCATGCCAATCACGTAAAGCAGCCAATTTTTGCAAAAGCTGGCACTGTTAGCTCATTCAGGATGCCTGGTGCCTTCTGATTTTGATGCTGCGATTGGCTCGCTCGTTCGGTGAAACAACAACTTTCTTGTTGCACAGAGATACCCTTCCAATGCGCTATGATGGCGGCCTCCTAATTTGCCCACCATCCTTAGCGCCACCATGGCCACAGGTGCCGCCAAGAAGCCACCAACATGGAAACGTAAGCGTGCGCGCTATGTTTGGGTTTCCGAAAAGTGGCAACACGAATGTCTGTAAAACGGGAATAAGAACGTGCCCAGCAACTTCCAAATAGAAACACGGAGATGGACCAAAAGTTTCAGTTATGGAAACGTTAACAGGAACAGCGGGGAAAGTCTGTGTTTCCAAAGTTCAATGCAAAGAGACTGGCGGGTGGGCATCGTCGACGATCTGCAAAGTTAGTGATGTTCATGGTCTCCTTGGCAACATTAGGTACCCACATTCAGCCAGCCGCGCTACGAGTCGCTTTGAGCCACCATGGAAATGGCCGGTACCCGCAACGAGTGTCATGTGCAGTTGTCGTTAACGACAACAACGTTGTTGTCGCGTGCACCATACAGTCGTTAGTCAGCTGACCTGGACTTCCTCAGGTCAGACTTGGAATGCCAGTAGTAGGACTGAGAAACACACTATCCATGTCCGTGCATTGGCGCACAATTGTCCTGAAAGACCTTATCAACACTACCTTTCCTGACTCCCTGTATCGTTTATGTTCTGGCAGTGAACAGTTGAGCAGATGCTTATCATATGTTTCCACTTTGAAATACGCGACGAAAATGCGAATTGGGCCTTCAGACCGTCCACATGTCAGCGCAAACGTTTACAGTACGTTTGAGTATCAACAATGGAAACGTGAACGTGGGCACTACGTCAAGGTTTCACAGCGGGAGCACAAACGTGTCATTCACATTCCGTTGATTTTTCAGAAAAACGGAGCATCAACGTGACAACAGACGCTCGTTTGTGCCTACCCATGAACTACATTATCTGAAATGTGTTCTTGACTTCCGCATGCCAAGTCACGAATGCAATCAAGTTCTGGACGCAATAATGCTCTGCAAGCTTGAAACCCACACAAGGGCCATCCATCGGCCTAAACCCTATAGATGAAGGCGCCTGCCCTTTACTGGCATTCTCTTGCAGATGCAAGACCTGGGAACAGGCAAATCATACAAAAGAACAAAGCCACAGCAGGAATAAAATCAAAAGATGTCCGTCCATACAGCTCCTGTTATACAAAGAAACAGAAATTTCGATTCGGCAAAAGTGACAACAAAGAATTCTATTGCTAGAACAGCCACCGACATGCAATTGAAGAAGAAACAATTGAGGTGGTCAATCCACGAAACAACGTTTGCCACAGCGGACATCACTGTGGACCTTATTCCCCCAGCTGTCTGCACACCTAACTGCCTACACCTGCACAACTGCACAAGGGCCTCCTTGCCCAGCTACCCACATCGACACACCTCAGTCTTCTTTCTTTTCTGCAACTCGGGTCTCCACAGTCTTCATGTACTTGGTGGCAAATACCTCGAAGTAGAAATTGGCGCCGTTCCAGACTGACACACAGGAGAGTGCAATGATGAGTGCTGTGTGCACCCAGTACGTCCGCCAGCAGAAGACCACGAAGACAAGGGCAACCACGAAGAAGGTGAGGTGGAAGCCAAGAAAGACAACGGGCTGCCAGCGTCTCTGAAAACTGGAGACATACACAGCATGACAGTCACCTATGTTGCTCTTTCGAATGCTGACTGTGCTGATCCATGCCTGCAGCTTCCTGGGGGCGTTCATGCTATGTGCCCTTAACACATGGTGCTCCTAAATATTCATAAGTCATACGCGTGGGAAAGATAATGTTGCAAAAAGTTTACAGGGATAAATTTCCCATACTCCTTAGAAAGAAACGCTGCCACATAAATTCTTGCACAGTGGATGGTGTGCAAGATGTACTCCTGACAAACGTATCTGGCCTGCAAAATCTTCAAGTCCATTTAAATACAGCCCAGCATAGTTATATTCCATTTCCCCTATACTGGCGCCCTGTCAACTGCCCATTCCTGGGTCCCCCAATACAAAGCGGGGGTGTTGACACGAAGTTCAACGAGGGTAGGTTTAGGCGGACAGTAGGGTCACATGGCGCCGCAGAGGAGGCCATGAAGACGACATGAAGGCCGTTTGGCAAGGAGGCAAAAGGGAAATTCCCGCTGTGGGGTGCACAGCACGTGGGAATGAACGGCATGGCAGAGAGTGGCAGGGACAGTTTCTCTGTGCGCCCAGGACCAGAAAAAAGTGCTGGCTAACGGAAGAACGACGGCACCAGGGGCGGTGGAGGGACAGTTCGGCAGCAGGAGGTAACCAGCGATGACAGCCAATGACAGCAGCCCATGCGAATGTGCAACATGGACGCTATTGGGCTGCGAGTGGTGTGGATTCTGGAGATGGTGGCAGATTGAAAAAGCTAAGACATACTTGCCATGACGGGTGATCATCAATACATCTTGGCACACACTTGGAGTATTACTTTGCTTCTTTTGCAGGCTCAGTTGTTGCCCATAAGGGGCACTACACTTGGACATTGGCAAGGCTCTGCTGTCGCCCATCAGGGGCTCTAAAGGCAGGTTTGGGGGATCAGCTCAGTCGACTCCAACCAGGGGGTCTACAAACAGAAGTTGGGGGCACCAGTCGCTGCCCACCACAGACACTTCAGTCATTTTATTCTGCACTGTATGGCAGATCAGTTACCGCATGTCAGGGCCTTGACAGCTGGGCATTGGCAAGGGTATGCAATCATCGCCTGTTGGGGGTTGCAGCTCTGGCAATCCAGCGGGAGTGGGGTTTGGGGCTCTTGGAATTCTGGCTTTTTTTTTCCCATTGCATCTCCCTTCTTCCTTATGCCACCAACCTACTTGCAGCATTGCTCTTTATGTTCTTGGACATCACAGTATCTGCTTGGGACTGTTCTATCCTTTTGGGCTATTGATAAACGACAAGCTGTGTTCCTATACTGCCACGATGGACAAACAGTTATGCACGGGTTCTTGCTGACACCCATGGAGTATGTGTTGATTTTGTGCCTGCAGCACTGCAAAGCGAAACAGGGTCCCCTATATGCTTGCAACGGAGAGGGGTGCTCCCTTGCAAGATATGTTTATCAGGGTTCTAAAACACTTCTTGACGAACAGCCACACATGCCGATGACGATCACAAGGGCAATTGGATATTCTTGTTCTTTTGACTGCCTTTTTCCTTCAGTGCAAGTGGGTGGGTTGGGATCGATCATTGGATGGACCATGAGCAAACACTGATGGCATGCAGTAGTGCCTGTTGTGCCCACCCTAGCTGCAGGGGCCTTAGTTGTTGTACATTTTTGTGTGCAGCTGTTATTCAGCTGTTGCAGTTCTTCACAGACATTGTGCAAGCAAAGTCTGCAGCACCAGGAATGCCAAATTCACCATCACAACGGCACGCTCACTGGCCTGGGTGACGTTCTGCGGCAACTGCATGCAACAACACTTGTGTGTCAAATTACCTGGATTGGCTCTGCATCGGGGGGAAAAACACCACTTACCTAAGGATGAATTTTGCGAATCCACTCTTCTTGTTTGATGTCATGTACTTGAACAAAGTTGCATACTCTCTTTCCTGAATCTTCCTCTCCGAAAAGACAAAGATCTTGAGGTAGTATATTATAGCCCACAGAAGGTACAGTGGGATGGGATACAACAACAGGTCTGCAGCAGATGCCTGCTCCCAAGTTGGATTGCCATGAGAAGGCCTGCAAACAGAATACGAAAACAAGCAGGCAGCTAAATTGAAGCAGGCAATTAGAGGCACAAAATTTCCGGAGCACGAGTGTTGGCAGCACATTTGCACGGAGAGTGTCAAGTGGCAGAAAAATGCAATGACCGCTGTCCAGCACGAGTCAAAAGCATCATCTACACCTAAACCATCATGCATTGTGAAACATGAGTTCAGGTGTATATGCCAATCCATCACCCCACGCACCTTACATCCATTCTGCAGCTGCCCAACATTTCGCAATGTGGGTACCACCTCAGAGTCCAGGCCACGAGCATGGGCTCATAGTGCAGAAACAATGATGTTACCTGTCAGGTGCAGAGACACAATATTCAGAGTGGAGAATACCGACTTGCTGTGTGCTGGTGCACTTGGAGACTTTGCAACATCCAAAAAATTGTTGAAAAGACTCACAAATTCTTGCTCATGAAGGGTCTGCAGTGCACGACATGTCTCATATCTGTTGCAAGCCATTTTTCGTGGAACAACAAACAGATGCTACCTTGATGTACCTTGTCGACGTTCTGATACTTCCTTCTGTTCATGCAGACTGCTCTGACCTCGCAAGCACTGGCATTAAAGTACAATCACAACATCCAAACTGCACAAGCTGTCAATTATCGACAAGCATTGGCCAAAAGAAGCATGCTGGGCGCGCTCTGGTGACAGTGTACGCCTTCTGGGAACTGGATGCTCTTGTCAACGCGTCTGCATAGCAGTTCCCAAACCAGTGTTTGGTGCCGCTCCATCGTGTCCTCCGACTCACAACCCAACACAGCGAAAACAGCACTTCACGCTGTTTGCCTGTCTCTGGATATGAGGTTTGAAGCCCGTCAGGACAGTCTGTGTGCCCAGAATTTCAGGAAATAGATTCATACACATCATGAACAAAGCCATTCTCATTTACCTTATCCAAACTGTGGAAGACCAAGGAATTGCGAAAGGCAAGGATGGACCACGCCATAATGCCAGTGTTGTAGGCAAAGCACACCTGCGTGTTGGGAAGCACATCAAATCAATCTGCTGCCAGCATGCCAGCAGTTTACAATATGATAGAAGGAGCAAAAGCTGCTGGCTGGTAGCCAAAGACTGGTCTGGATAATAAGAATAGATCAGCTGTCAACAAAACAGTTGTTCCCAACAGTGCCCAAAGGGGAATCAATAGCCAACCCAACATGCAGTGGATATCGAGTGAGAAAATGCTTCGTTTGATGCGAGGCAACACATCACACCCGGCATCACTGCTTGCCATGCAGAATGCAAGGGCATCTGGTGCACAAAGAACAATACGCCATCGATTCTTTTGTCCTTGTCACCCAGGACACACCTTGAGGAGGAAAACTGAAGTAGGCATCACCCAAAGGTAGAACAGTAGCAGGCCATTTGCAAAGTAGCAGAAGTCAAAGAAGTAATAGTGCATCTTCTGCTGCTTGTACATCAAGAATCGAGTGGTGAAGAGAACGGCAGCCTTCACAGTGTACAATTTGTAGAATGTTTCACGGCAGCAGCCAAGCCAGTATGCACCCAGCCTGCAGCAACCACATTTGCAATGGCTGAATGGCTGTCTTACAGCATACTTCCTCCGTCCCAGATTAATTGTCGTCTGTTTGAAAGGCTAAATTTGTTATAAAGACAGCCTCAAAATTTCAAAACAAGGTCGAAATCGTAAAGATTGCATCTCAAAACCCTTGACTGTCAATTTTCAAGAAGGAAAAGTGAGACATGACCCATTTGAGCGCAAGGAGAAGGTAAGTTTTGATCATTTTTGACCCCAGATATTGAGATCTACTATGTAAAAAGTCCCTTCATACAAAGTACTGCCAAAATGCTCAATACTTAATGCATTGACTTGAAATTTTTATGGTGTACTCTCAACTCAAAAACACAACCGTAGGCCAAATTTAATTGAAAACAGGTGTGGGCATGATGGAGAAATACTAATCCAAAATCATGGGCGACAATTAATCTGGGAAGGAGGAAGCATTTCTGAAAATCGCAATCCTTGCACACCAGTTGCACTGAGTCCGGCCCACGAATCTCGTATTGGGCACAATGGCAAACAATGGCTGTGGATTTTGAAGCTTCCAAAGGCATGAGTTGATGTCAGGAGGGGGTGGATCACTCCCGTTTGGCTGTATACTGGTGCAGGACACAATTTGTGCAGGGGTTTGCAGGCTGGCACATTGCCAGCGTTTATGATAGTTATTACATCGAATGCTCATTGCCCCCTGACGGCTGCACTGTTTCTTAAGCCAAAAGCAGCTACTTACCACAGGTTGACTGTGCCCAGCATGAATGCGATCTTGTCCCCAAACAGCACCCTCTTGTGTGTGACTTTGAAAAGATGCTTCTTCAGCTGCTGTTTCAAGAAACTCCTCACTCGGAAGTCAAAGTTACCAACGTCAAACTGTGGAGCAGGAATCAGGGCCGTCAGGCGAACTTGGACGTTGCAGATTCGGCCCAAAGATGCTGCAGTTTTGTGTGAAACTCAAGAAAGTGGGAGGAGCAAGTGCTATGGCGGTGCATGCACAACATTGAAAGTCCCTTGGCCTTGGCTCCACTCCACGTTGTGTGCAGTTAGTTTGCGAGCATTCTTTGTTTCCGCGTTATTATGTACTTGCCACGGTCAACTTCTGTAGAAGGCGACTAAGCGCATCCTCTTATTTGCAGACACCCGCATTGGTGCCATCTGCAGCGATTTCCCCGCCTGGGGTTGCAACGCGCAGTCACCTTGAATAGATGGCTCACCGGTCCATTTGTTTCCAGCCGTTGAGCCCAATCGTGGCTTCTGAGCTCAGTAACCAACAAGATGGAGCGCTGACAGTCGCGCTCCTGGCGCTAGGCGCACTCGCTTGACATACGCAACAGAGCCCCGACACAAGACCCAGATCTGGCAGCCAAGCACAAGCGGGCAGCTGTTGTACTCATCCTTCCGTATTTCGTCGCGACGCCAGAATGCCCAGCTCTTACGACAAGCGCGGGTGGGCTGGACGAAAGTGCGAGGCGTTCACCTCCTCATAGTCCCCTGATTTGAATGCGTCCCCATCCTGCGCTTGATGATGGTCCAGCACGTCCTGGAAGCCGGCCAATGTGTCCACCGCCAGCTGCAGGCTGGACAGCTCCTCCACCGACGAGTCTTGCCGTTCCATAGAAGCGCTGGGAGAGACAGGATAGAACTCCGCGTCCCCTGCCATGATCCCGTGGCACCCTCGGCGGGCCCCGGGCAAGGCAACCTTGACCCAGGGGTTAGGAGCGGCGCCCAAGGAAACCTTTTCGCGCAATAGGGTGCCTTGGCCAATTCCGCCAGTGCCAACACCAGGCGGCGACATGACGTGTTTGCTGACGCGTGTGCCACTTTTTGGTCCAGTACATGGGGCCCACTGGGTCAAACGCAGTGGTTGGACACGGTGCCCAACGGGTTGTCCACGGGGCTGGCGCGGCTGCGGCCAAGGGCGCAGTGTGGTATGCTCAGCTGCGTTAGGGCGTTGCGCAGGAGCCACGGCAGTGGCTGCGGGCTGAAGCAGGCTGCTACTGGAGGGAGTGCCTGAGCGTTCAGGCGAGTATCCTGTTTGGGCACCGGCACGAAGAATCGCCCGCTGGCGTGGGTGTTTCGCCCAGCGACAACGCCTGATAGAGGGTTGTTGGTGACTCTCGACCCCCGCTGTTCGCATTTGCAGTTTCGCCTGCCAGAAGGTCCTGGGCGGACCTCGCAGCGCTGTGCGAGTCGCTTCAATCCCTGAACGCCCCTGGGTGTTGTCGGTGGGGGGTCTGCCGACGGGCAGCACCCGCTGTCCACTACGACCGCGTTCCGTTCAGGTGGTTTAGCAGCGGCAGAGGTTTCGCGGCGGCTCTGTCCTTGCGATAAAGCGTGCTCCCAATTCTGAATCCGTGGGTCGCAACTGAGCGACCACTGGCCCCATTTCGGCAGGCAGCAACACCCTGCTCGGATCGGCAAGACGAGATTCGCAGCAGGGCGGCCGGTCCGGTGGCGTCTTCACGCTTTGTATTCCTAGCACATCGTCTCCGCAATGGCAGACGGCCATGTCCGCGTGCTGGACTCGCCTTCCGTGCGGTCCCCAACGGCCTCGAATCATCCGGATGCCAGAGCCCGGCATCGGGTCGGTCCGGCGCTACCCTCCCGCCCCTTTTGCCGATCAGATTCGTCCGAGGCGTGCCGAATAGTTGGCTGCACGCCGTCTCCAGCGCTGCTGAAGAAGCCGGACTGGACGAGACGCGGGGGGACGTGCGCCAAGGCGGTGGACGTCGAGTCAGCGGGTCAACTCGCGCCAAACCTTGACTGTGAGGGCCTTGACAGCCGATGGTGGGAGTGGAAATACGGGTCCAAGGTGCATTACTATGCGGCCGGCGGCGAAGGTGGGATTGTCTTCCGCTCGTACCTGTCCTGATGCGCCACAGAATTGTGCACCAAGCCCAATTGTCCATGGTATCTCCTGCTGGCATGTGGAGATGGACCGGCCTTCCCATGTGTCTGGACCAAGCATGCAGTATTGGGGATGCACTTCTTTGTAATGGCAGCAGGTGTGTTGACATATCCCAGTATATGATACAGTTTGTTGGCTAACTTCTCCCTCTTCCAATCAAGATTTAACAGAATGGAACGTAATGTATGTGCAGTACAATGCATGTGGAATGTATGTATCTTGAATCAGCTTCTTGAGGAACACGGATGCGAGCCACCTGCCCCATTGCCACCTTTTGGGTGCCAGAGCTGTGCTTCTTCCAGATTGCTCAGTGCTCCAACAGGTCCAGTTCATTGGGTATACTGTGTGCTCTGAGTTAGAACTGGATGAAAACAACAAGGAGGCGATCTGGAGACATCATCCTTCACCAATGCCTTCGTGTTGACAGCTCCACCCAACCCCCAACCCCCCTCCCCCTTCCCCCTTTTTCATGCAAGCATCAGAGCTGCCGTCAGTAATGCTGGTGGGATAGGTATCATGCATTGCCGTGTGCTGTCCTACGTACCCCCAAATTCCGCATCAACACCTTGAATCAGTGGCAGGGCCCTCAAGATCTGTGGTGCTGAAAGAATGCACATGTTTGCTTGACCAATAGCTGGCCAGTAACACGTTTGCCTCGATGAGTTCAAGACAGCAAGAACATGTTGCTCAAAGTACTTTTGCACTCAGCACACAAGATCCAAGTATTCTGCACGCTGATTGCTCTATGGGGGTGATGCCAGATGTGTCAACATGTTGATGGACTATTCTTGGGTTTGTTGTCCAGGGCCACCCATCCTCATGGTTCATGGATTCGGAGCTGGCGGGTTTCATTATGATCGCAACATCCCAGAACTGAGCAAGACACATAGGGTGTGGGCAATCGATCTGGTTGGACAAGGTGCGATTGTTCCTGTATGTCAGAATCTCTGGAAGACACTGCTTACTTAGATTTGTCAGATGTTGTTCACCAGATCACCAAATCGCCAGCCAATCCTAATGGAAAATCCCAATTTGAATTTTGTTTCCTCATGATGGAACATTGGATGTGGTTGAAACTGAATTCGTGGTGGAATTCCCCTTTTGCATCGTTTGAAACTGTGTTGTTGCTCTTGTTGTCCATCTTGGCACCGTTGCTGATAAGCAAATGACTGTGCAAGTTTAAGCAGGAAATCACACCAGCTCTAAGCAGCAATTTGTGCTGCTTTCAGGCAGGAGCACACCATCAAGTGACCTCATACTTTCCACTGATACATGGACAGAGCAGCTGTCAGATTTTGTGACAGATGTAATTCAGGAGCCTGTCTACATCATGGGCAACTCACTAGGTGGCTATCTTGCAGTGTCGATGGCCACACAGTTCCCATCGCAATGCAGGTAATTCGCGACACAACGATAAAAGGACCAATTTTGCCACTCTTCACATCAGTTTCAACCTGTAAGGGGGGGCAAGGTCAGGGTAACTCTGTGGCTGGTGTATTCAGAATGGCCACGAGAATCAAAGCCTTTGCACCATATTGAACCTAAAGTATTACAGTATTCTGCCCAAATCGATGAAGCTTTGAAGCTGCCCAAGCCGCCCGTGATTATTCCGCAATGCCCACTTAAGCGTTCAATTTGCAGCTGGCAACAACACATGAGAAAGAAGACACCTGTGCACTTGCACCTCCATGGCCAATGCAATAGCCGCTGCGTTCCCCCAGTCCGAGCTTTCTTTATTGGTGTATCCACTCACCTGGGCCACATGAGGAGCTGTTGGGCCACACCTCCAATAGCCCAGGAGCAATATCAGCAAGTGAGGGCGAGTTCAGTATTCCAGTCAGTCACCAGCATCATGGATCGCGTTGTGGCATCGACAGGGTATTGATGTGCCGAGTTGGGCATGCTGAACTTGACACTCAACTTGTTCTGCATAACAAAACGGCCCATTGATATCTGTATGTTCCCAAAATCATTGTTGGATCAAGCACAGCAGAAAGCGTTGCCTTGCACATCTCTATCAAAGCGGAGAGCCTCTGAAAATGGACATACATGTTGTGTCTATTGTGCATAGTGGGTCGTGACCTTGTTGAAATTTCAACGAACTGGTGTGCAACTATGTGAACATCATCATTGAGCGTCCCGGTCGCAGTCTCCTGGCACTGCTATTTGTGTTTTACTTTCTCTTGTGCTGTTTTCCTCGAGGGTGTGGGGAGTTGTCTTGCAGACAGAGAGGGATAGAGAGGTGTCTCTGCTGTTCTGCATATGTGGAAGAATGAGATGGAAAAGATTTCGTGACTTATGTGCTTTGGCAAAGCATGTTTAACAGACTGTCCGTGCAGTGCCTGAAAATATGCAGGAAAACAGAAAATGCATCAGGTACACATCCACGACCACGCAGGAAAAACCTCCAAACCCAAAAAACTCTCATAAAGAACTCTGCACAAAGCAATACATGCATCAGGCAAAATAAACAAGATGCTCCCAAAAATCCTCACCCCGCCAAAAGAATGATGTTGAGGCTAGAGATCACTTAAAGCTCTTGGCTAAATGTGCCACCATCTCACAAATTAATATTGGGCAGGTTTGATTCAGTTAAACCCTTCTCACCTTAATTATTGGACGGCAGGGGCCTCATTCTTTTGAACGCCACACCATTTTGGTGGTCGTTCAGCCCTCGACCCGATTCAGACACGTGGATCAGCAGAGTGTGGCCATATAGAGGCGAATTGCCAGCACCCAAGGTACACTTGTGCATTTAGAGTCTGCAGTCGTGTCCCAGATTTGTGTCAGATTCCAATTGTCACCTGCTGCAGAGTTGCTTTCTGTGACGATCATACCTGTTCCAGGTTGCGGGGATGGATTGCCGTTTTCGAAGAGAGGTTGCTAGATCGTTGCCAGCGATGACAGAACAGTAACAACAATTTACCCGTATGCCCAGACTTTGTCAGCATTATGGAAGCTGGCCTTTCTCAAGACCTTGCATAATTGCATCTCTGCTCCTGCCATTCCCAGGCGCCAACAATCCATGAAAGGGCAGTGCAAATTCGCTGGTCACCAAGTGATATTCATGACTGCAGTAAATGCGGATTCACGTAATGGCAACCTCACACATAATAGGGAGGGGGGAAAGAGCCTTTTCACGATGAAGACAACCTGTTGCTTTGGTCACCAGCCCGGCATCAGATGCTTTCGTCATAGATCGGTCTCCTTTGCATGTTTTCCCGCCCTGCCTGTTCTCCAAACGGAAAGGTGAATACTTGGAAACATCGCACAATTTGTGAAGCCTTGTGGAAGGCACAATGCCGAACTTGGTACGCAAAGAAGCTGATCATTGACAAACAGGTCAACCTCCCTCAAACGCTCAATCTTCGATGGGGGCCCCCAAATGCCTCAATTGCATCCTCCGGGGCTGTCCCCATTTATCCCCTGCCGTGTCTTCAAGCAATCCATTTTTGTAGGCCTCCACACTCGCTGTAACTTAGGTTGATTGCCTTGCTGGAACACATCTTGAACTGGCGTGCTGAGGAACAATTGCTGAGTCACCTTGACATCAACATAAGGATTGACACCAATGGAGAGTGTCGGGGGCTGAGATTAGCTTCAAAATGACGCAAGCGTTCCAATCCAAAGGTCGTTCATTATTTGTACCACAACTGCTCGTGCTGATCTTGGCACACTCTTTTCTCCACCCACACCCCAGCACAGGGGACAGAGGATGTAAAGGATGGCTTGCACTCTACATCAAGTAGCCCGAGGTTTGGACGCGAGGCAATGCTCTGTCATTCACTATCCGTCTTCTCTGCTTGAAAATACCATGCGCACCATGTATGTTGGATGTCCTTGTAGACGCTCATCATCCTCTGTGAGGATTCCTCACGACTTGTGTTGATGCGGCTATTTACGTACTATGCGAGTAGGCTCTCAAAAGAGTCATCGGGCCTTATTGGTTTGACAAACTCAGCGACCCCGACAACGTTCAGTGGCTACTGGAGACAGTGTACCACACGGCCCCAGATGACACAAATGTCGCGGAGCGCATTATAGAGGCAACACTCCATCCCAACGCCGTGGACCATTTCATCTCCATCCTCTTTGCCCCCAAGGCCGCGAGAAACTTCAACGAGATGCTGGATGTGCTGGCCGCTCCTGTGTGCATGGTGTATGGTAAGCGCCTTGTTGTGGGATGAATGGGATGCCGTGAAATGTGGCGCCGCACTGTAGCGCCGTTGCCCTTGTGTAAGTACCATTCTTTGTGTACCTTTGCATGAACGAACGCAGATGTGGTCACCGACAATATCTTTTCGCCATGGCGGCTGACGCGGTTCAGCACACGTGCATTGTGGACCATGGTTGAGTGTTGGTTGATGCCTGCTGCATCAATGAATCGATTATCACTTGCATTGAGAGTGGTAGCCAAAGGTGTTATGCTTGTCAGTACCGACGCAGAAAGTGGTGGAACATCTTGAGGCAAGGCGCCTCCTGTTGCTCAAGGACAAGCGCTAGGTGCTACACGGGGCGACCAACGCGGATTCGTTGCATGTTGTTCACACTGACAGTGGCCGTGTCTTAGAGCTCGGAGATTGGACATGCGAGCAGTCAATCAGGGTGTTCATGTTGTGCATTGATTGACGAACATTCACACTTTCGCAGACTTGCAGGAGCCAGTAAGAATTGCCGGGCAAAAAGGAATCGACTCATTTCAAAGCAGGACCGAAATATTATAGCACAGCTGCGCATGCAAAGAGGTGGCGAGCGCTGGTATCCTAGGGCGCTCGAAAGCACAGGGGCTTGTATGTCTGATTGGTCGTCTCATTCTTCGTGGCTTATTCATTGCTCAGATTGTCGGAGAATGCAATGTTTGGGACTTTCGAATCGAAAGGACTGTTATCCACGTTCACCAATGGCTGCAATCTACAGGCAAAGAGGATCCATGGATTGTGCCCCTGTGGGCGCAGAGGCTCAAGCGCAGAGTACCCCAGGCCGACTACTTCGAGCTCAGCCCCGCCGGCCACTGTCCCCACCATGAGGCGCCCGGTGCTGTAAACAGCGTCGTCGCCCGTTGGGTGGGGGACATGGAGGCAGGCGGGCGCCTTTGCCTGCAGGTTGGCGATTCTTGGCGAGAGAGGTGCCCCATCACGGGGCGGGATGTGAGCGTGAGCATTCTGAACGGTGATCCGAAGACGGTACTCGAACGCATCGACGCAGCCTTCTACCGTTTGGTGTATGGTGATGGTGCGGTGTAGCAGGCGTAGGATCCGAGTGTTGGGAAAGAGATAGGGAGGTAAAATTGAGACCGCGGAGTGGCGAAGGAGATCGGTGGCGCCCCGTTTTATTGTTCTTTGCCTCTGATACTTTCTTGTTTGCCTCTTTTGTGTCTCTTCTGTGGCTGTGGAGGATTCAGACGATTGATAATGAATCCTAAAGGTTCTGCTTTTCGTTGGGTTCTACTTTGGTTTCGTTGGTCTTTGTTTTTCGTTGGGATTATGTCAAAACTCTTGGACTTTGTACGCGGGACTGTTTAATTCTCAAGGCATCAGGAAAAGGCACGTGTGTTGCAAGACGTCATGACTCGGCGGGGCACATCAACTGTGCTGTCGCAGCTGCTGATGCAGCCGCACTTGTGGTGCACAATGGTGGCAGTGTCCCGCTCGTGCAGACGCCATTAAAGCAAGCCGATTGAAAATGACGCAATTTTGTTTTGAGAAAAGCGGTCGAGCGCGGCTCATGGTGGTTTCGCCTAGCGGATTTGTCCTGGAATTTGGTGGTTTCGCCCAAATGCCAGAATGTAAACTCAGACTCCAAACGTAATGCCAAAGCACAGGTTTCCAGAGGTTCATTTTTTCTGAAATGGTCCATAGTTGTACCTGATAGGCCCCCCCACAGCATCCCATCATTTGTGCGGCGGCATGCTACGACAGAAACAGTGTACAGCGCCCTGCTGCCAGCAGTCCCCTCGCCTCTCTTGATGAAAGCGTCCAGTGCCGATGTCGATGAAGAGCTTTGTCATTTGGCCGATTCCGCTGGCCGGGCGGCCACGCTGCCACGCGGCACAGGCCATCACGGCCTGTCCGATCTTCGAAAGCGGTCACGGGGTTGAAGCGGGACCGACTCCCAGGGAACCGCCCCGGTACCTTCACTGCTGGGGATCGGGGCGGAGTGTTCCGTTCAGTCCCCGCCTCCCAAAGGAGTCTGCTGGGTTGGGCGTGCCTGGAGTGTAGGCGGCGGCCGCCACGTTGGGGCGAGCCTCCGGATTCCAGCGGTTGGAGGGGGCGGATTGCTGCGGCACATCCATGCGGATGCCGTCTGTGAGGAAGGCCGCCCATTGGGCATTCGCATGAATCGAGAGACAAGGGGAGGGTCCCAATTGGCACGATTTGGGGTGCCGAACGGGTCCAGAGCCAGTTCTTGCAGCGCGGTCCACGCTCACGGCGCGTATGCATGGGCACCCGGGGCCTGAGAGGCACATGGGCGCTGCGCACGGACTCAGATTCGGGCGCCTGCGGTCATGGCTCCGGCCTGCGGTGGCTCTGGTCGTTGTGATGGCTTGTGTCGCAACCGCTTCCGCCGACGCGGCCGCATGGGACCATGACTGCGGCAAGTCACTGGGTGGCACCGCGCCCGACGGTTCTCTCCCGCAAGGTGGGTGGCGGGTGCGATGTCATCAACGGACGCCCCTGTGGAAAGCTTGCAGGCTCAGCGCAGGGGGCCACCTGGCCGAATTGAATTCGGGGGCGTGACAGCGGACGCTCCGGACGCACCATGTGGAACACACTGTTTGTGCACCAGCCCTAGGATGGGCGCCTCTGGGGCACCACAATGTGTTCGAATGGCAGGGATGCAGCAGGAGCGCTTCACTTTAGTTTCGGAGCTGTGGCACCGCGGCGACGCCACTTCGAATTGCGCATAGGCAGTTCAAGTCCTGCCCATTTGCCACCTTTCTGGGGCCCCTGTCGTGGCGCTTGAGGCGTTTGCTTCAGGGCCCATGCCACCGGCGGAGCTTCGAGTCGAGGCGAACCCCACAGCGTTGCCGCCCTGACGCTGCCGATGTGGACACACGAACTGTTGCCCAGCCGCGGTTCTGGCCTGCCTGACGTTCTTTCCTGTCTGCAGGCGACACCCCGATTTTGTCTGCCCCCGTCCGTGCCATCTTGCAGGCGAGGCCTGGCCCCGTCCTCCCCGAAGACTTGGCTGGCTTGCAGCAAGGGCAGCTGCCCTCCCTGGAAGGCGCACCAGCGACGAGCAGGGCATTCGTGTGGGAGAGGCCGGAGTGCACGATGCTGCTGCCCGTGGTGGGGGACGAGTCTGGCACCAGGGTCAGTGGGCGGGTGCTGGATGCGCCTTATCAGGGGGACGTCGAGTGGACCAAGCCGAAGGGCGGACAGGCTGCGGTGGCAGGGAAGATTGAGCTGGGCTTTAGAGGTAAGCGCGAGGGGACTGAGCGACGGGTCCGTGCAAGTCGTCGCGGGCTGGGAATCGCGGATCCGCATGGATCGCACATTCAATCCAGCGGCCAGCTGTAGCGAAGACCGATCGCAAATCCCACGCGTATGTTCAAAATCCCACATTCCCGAGGCCAGAGGGAAGTCTTTGTGCATAGCAACATGCATGAGTTCACAGTTTTGGCATTCCTTCGCATCAATTGTGCCCACAGGGCCTTGCTGGTGTGGTGGTGATCTTTGGGCGTTCAGTGTGGGGACACCGCTGTTTTTAATAGGCTACACGCATTGCACTGTGGCCATTGGATGTGCCATTTAAGGAAAGCCACACAGGAGGTAGGGGATTGTCCAAGGAAGGTCATCCAGACAGCCAGCTTGAAGTTTGTCCTTTACAACTGTGGATAGCAAGGTTGTTTTGCAGAGCAGACTTTGTCCCTCTGCAACTGATGGCAGTCGCGTGCAATCACAACTTCTTTGCTCCTCTGGTTGCCATTGTTGGTGGCTGAAATTCAATCGATCCTGCCATTTAGAGTGTAAGAGTCGCCCCCGGCAACAGAAGAATCACGTCCATGTTTGGTGTGGATGTCAGATGCGTGTCCTGAGGGTGCACGGCAGTTGTCAGAATTTCTGAACGATGGCAAGTTCTTCTCAAACACGAAGAAAGGCGTTGTAACTAAGTCCCACATGCGAGGTGTGGTCCATGGGGTGGAAGAGGACCTCCGGTTGGAGCTGAAGAACATGAGGGTGGGACGGCGACCTTGCAGACAACTCTATACAGTGCAGTGAAGTGGACCTGGGTGACGTTTCTTTCTGGATTTCTTGTGGTTTTAGAATGGGGCACCATTCCCTTTCTATTAGAAAAAATTGCCCACAGCTTCCGCACGAATGTCGTTCTTGTTGAGCCATGCTGAAAAATGGACTGGAACTCTCACGTCCATAATGCGCCATGCATTGTTGCTGGAGCAAATTCTATAGTCGCGACTGTGTTTTGGGGTCATTTTCAACCAGTTCCGTACATATACACATGTGCTACAGAAAGTACAGTGGAGTGTGGTGTAGCTTGACACTTGTGCTGATGCCCAGGTTGTGCACTTGGTTCCTGCAGTGGGCACCCAGTGGCAAAATTGTAGAAACAGTGATGGACTTGAGAGTGCAGGTTGCAATCACCAGTGCTGTGTCTGCACAGATGTGGATGTACTCAAATGGCCCCCTCCAAGTTGCAAACAATCAAGTTGGGTTGGCAGTCACCGTGGGCCTGAGAGAGGGCTCCCTAGTTATTCATAATGGAACAGAGAACAGAAGCTTCGACCTCACAAGAATACGGGCAACAGCTGTGGGAAATGGGCAGATATTGGAGCAGGTGAGCAACAGTGCAGATGGACAAGTGCTACACTCACAAATTTTCACATCATCTGAATCGTCATTGGCATTATCGTCTGTAGCATGGGGCTTTAAAAATGCAAAATCCCTGCTGCACTTGGAAAGGACAAAATCTGGTTTTTGATTTTTGGAGAACGAATCAACAGAAACAAGGATTTGGCTGTCGTACTGGGTTGGGTCAAACACTCTGAGAAAGTGACAGTTTTGTTGCTTCCCCTTCTGCAGACGCTTTCAACTACAAATCAGCAGCTCCAACCCCTGTAGACAAAAGTGTTATGCACGCCATAGGGACCCTGTGCAATATATTTGTCAACCTGGTATAGATGGCCTGGCAAAGAAGGTGACTATCACCTCCCTGCCGTGCCACGCAGATCAGACTGCAGACCCAGGTACAGAAGCCCTGATCAAAAACAGATGCTGCCTGCTGTCTGCCTGCCTGCCTGCTGTATTTTGAGGTCTGTGGAATCTAAAGATGCAAAGCAACTCCACGTAGCCTGAGCAGGGACAGATTCTCTGGCAAGCCTGGCCAGTGGATGCTGGCAAAACTTGTTTTCCAGGTGCCATCCCAATTGGCTATAACCCATACGACTTCACAATCTCTCACCAAAACATATTTGGATGAAGACTGGCTGTGATCTGTACAAGAAGCTGCACAATTGGGGCGCACCCTGCGTAACCCCACAGTTGGGCCTGCTCTGCAGTGCCATGTTCCACACACTGTCGCCCAGTTCGCACTGCCGTTGGTACCATAACCTGAATCCTGTGCTGGCTTCTGGTCCAGGATGGCGAGGTGCGAATCCAGATCTCCGACCTTCCCTACAGGTTTGACACCGCCCAGTTGGCGGAAAAGAAGCTTCGCATCCGCCTCATCCTCGAGTTCGTCACGAACATTACCGCCCGCGTCGACCTACCACTCGATGCACCCGCGAAACCGGGGGCCACGGTCGCTGCACCCGGCGCCAATGCCACTGCGCTCGGTAATGAAACCGCAGGTGGACTCCCAGAGCAAGTCTTCCCCGACGGTCCCGTAGTGACTCTGTCGGAGGTCGTCTTGACCGAGGCCGCCACTGTGATGGCCGCGCCCGTGTTCGTGCTGGCGGTGGTGGGCGTGTGCCTGACGCTGGTGACGTTCTGGCACCTGCCCACCGTCAGGGCGTGCCTAACGCCGCTGGACAAGAAGACGCTGCGCCAGGTGGCCGACACGATGGACCGCGGCATGACGATGGGATCCATGGGCGGTGGGCGCGTGCCGGGGGTGACAGACATTGGCGGCGGTGGCCGCGGCATGTCGTGGGTGGCTGGCGCGGGCAGGCCGTCCTTCGGCGACATGTCGATGATGGACATGGACGTGGGGAGGTCAACGATGGTTGGGTCGGGTTTCTCGCGGGGCTCGCTTACCTTCCAGCGCATCACGTGCTCCGTGCCTGTGAGACGGGGGAGTCACTGCCTGGGGCGCGCCGCCGGCTCGGCGGTGAAGAGCAAGTGGGCGGAGTTCGAGAAAGGGGAGGAGGTGTGGCGGGGCAAGTTCCAGTACAAGATCATCCTCCACCCCTGCAGCGGTGAGGCACGGCAGTGGCACGCCTGGCTTTTGCCAGCGGCCATCCAAGGGAGCACAATTGAGCCAATTCTCCATCGCCCTTCTTCTATCCGTGAGAGATTGAGAAGAGCGCGGCTGGGGTACCCCAATTACATGACCGTGCATGCTGCAGGGCGGGGCACATGTCGAAATGCAGCCGCAGAACTGAGTGCAGGCTGGCAGCAGTGTACCTGCAGGAAAAACAATTTGTGAGTCAGCTGCAAAGAACACAGGTGGACCTGTTCATGTTGTACTGTGAAGCAGTCAGCCAAGCTCATCTGTCGGTGTTCCAACCCAAAACCCGTCGGGTGTATTGGTTAGACCTAGTCCAAATTGATCTTCAATCTAGTCCACCCTCGGTGGAGGAACAGCCAGTCTAAAGTGAGGTTCAACCTAGCCCAAATTTGAGGTTTGGCCCTACAAACAAGAAAAACCTAACCCCACGGCCCAGAAACCTAAATCCTACAAACAAGTACATTCAAACAACCTTCGTAACCATCATCTCCAAAGATGAAGGGAATCGAAATCTGCGCTTGAGATGGGTAGACTAGGATACAGCACAATTTGGACTTAGTCGAACCTATTTACCCGAAAACATCCACAGCCGTACCTGCCTTGCAGTTGTGCAACAGCTGGTCCTCAACTGGACAAAATAATCAGCAAAACCACTGCTTGGCATTGAGCACTGAATTGGCTGTGCAGGCGTGCTGAAGGGCGGCGAGTTGACTGGCGTGCTGGGACCAGCTGGCTCAGGAAAGAAGGCCATGTTGCGGATTTTATCTGGCGATCAGACCGATGTGGACCGTGATGCTGTGATACAAGGTGAGCAGCCACCTTCAGTTGCAATGGCCTATGTCTGTTCTGTGAAATGCCGGGCTGCCACAGAAACAGTTCTGCATGCCCTGAATACACATTCTTGTTCTGGGTGCACTGATGCTTCCCAAGATTGGCCTTTGTCTCAAGGGTGAAAGAAAGCACGTCGTGTTTCGTATGACCACAGTCATCCAGCTTGTTTGGTGCACAGTAGGGGCGTGTGTTGACGTGACACACATCCAATTTTGCAGGTTCTGTTTTCACGCAAGGCACAGGCTTTCAGCAGTCAAAGGTCACTGTGGGAATGGTAGCTGGACAGATTGAAACTCTGAAGTCTATGACTGTGGCCGAGGCAATGGTATACACTGCACTGCTCAAATCCAAGCCTGGCACTGAGATCACCTTGATCAAGGTAAGCAAGGACATGGAGAACAGAGCATATTTTGGTAATCGCTGGCCTCCTCGGTTGATCCACACTGTGCTGTTGTGATCCACATCGTGCGTACTGGTGAGGCAGGACATGTCTGTATGGAAAATACAACAGAAACATAGCAATACTGTATGTGGCAGTACACTCCACATTGGCGTGGTTGTTCTGGTCCAGCTTGGCCATTGTGACCTGTAAGCAATCACTGCTCAAAGACAGAGTTGTACAGCCATCAATTGTTTTTTGTGGTGGTCAAGGATTGGCGTTTGAGGTACCTGCACATTGACAGTGCTTATCTGCAGTAGACTTTGACAAAATGACTCACTGGGTGGTCGGCCATGGACTGCTCCAGATAGCCAAACACAGCGTGTGCACACTTCGGTGTTGCAGTGGAACAGGTACAGAATCGCAGGAATCCTGGAAGATAGCAGGACAGACTAGCGGACAGGACACAGGGGTCAGTCTAAAAACATGGTGCTGTAGAACTTGTGGATGTTGATCAGTTGCAGTAATCTCGTTGTTGGAATCATTTTGGCTTCTCTCAAGTTTCATTTGCTGACAATATGGAGGATTCAGCCGTCAGGTGCGCGATCGCTTTGTCAAGATTATGTTGCCAGTTGTTCCTATCTGAGAACAGGATCTGTGTCTTTTTGGTCCTGCAGCAACGCATCTTGATGGCAGCTGAGGAGCTCCAGCTGACACCTTTGATGTCGCGCTTCGTTAGTGGAAAGGGATTGACTGGGGCGGAACGACGAAGGCTGATGGTTGCCTGTGAACTGCAACTTGATCCAGACATCTTGCTTCTTGAGGAGCCGACGACTGGTCTGTCAGGACAGGATGCAACAAACGTGGCGAAAGCACTTCGACAGGTGATGATTGAGCACTGGCCAATGCTCTTATTTGTACTTCGATATTGTGGCTTCTACAGTTTGCCTTTTACTCAGTTCGCTCTTGCAGTGTGTCAAATTTTGTGGTGCATTTTGTGGACTTTGGCGGCCACACTGGTGCCTGTGGAGAAATTTGGTCTCGATCCTTTACCAGCCCAGGTCACAGGGCGTGCTTGGTCACTAGCCCCATCTGTGTCCTCGGATGTGCATATTTTTTCCTCCACCTTTGCAGCTGACACCTTGGGCACCAGCGTCGCCTGGGTCATTCTCGTGGACTAACTAATGGTGTGCTTCACAAAACTCCTTTTCATTGGAATGCATTGGTTTCGTGGCAGTATCTGCTTGATAGGCTGATGGAGAATGCAAATGGCTTTCCTTCGCTTGGCTCCTCCCTCACTGCCCTTGTTTAACACCTGACAGGTCTCCCGCTTTGGTAGAGCTGTCTTGATGTCCCTCAGCCAGCCCTCCAACGACGTGTTGTCTGCCCTTGACAATACCATGCTTCTGGGTCGCGGCTACATGGTTTTCAACGGCCCTACCAGAGAAGCTTCCAGATTCTTTGCCCATGCCGGCATACGTGCCAGCCCAAGCACCTTCCCCCAGCAAGCTATGAAGGCACTCTCGAAGCCGGAGTACCTTGCTAGGCTGATCCAAGAGGCGCAAAAGGAGGATGGGCCCCTGCAGGGCGTGGCCCTGATGCCCGCCCTCTCATTCAAAGTCGTCAACAGGAACATCCGACGTCGACGCAATGTCAAAGGGGCAGCCTCTGGCTTGTCCACCCGGAGTCCCTACATGTCATTGCCCAACACCACAGATGGTGGCGTTCATGGGCACGGGCCTGGGCTGGCCAGCCGCGTCGTGTCCCCAGGCATAGCGAAAAGCATGCTTGCAGGAAGCTCACGGCAAGGACTAATGGCTGGCCATGGTCAGTCAAGCCACGTGGATGAAGACCGTGGCATCAGCAGCACCAGTTCGCACTCCAGCCCATCTGAGGCTGCGGTCCAAGCGTTTGAATTGAACAATGGCCTGTCTGGGGCACAGCTCGAAAACTCGCTCGAGAGTCACTGGTTCTCGGCGAGGCAGCGCTGCGGTCCGGACCGCCCCGAGACGATGGGGAGCTCTCCCAGTCCGTCCTCCTCGACGCCGCCTCCAGTCCGTCGCACGAAGTCCAGGTTCGTTGAGGAGAAGCATGCCAACGACTTGGGCGAACTGGACAACCGGCCAGACGAGCAGCGCCTGCGCCCGTCGTCGATCGACAGTGATGGCGAGAATCCCGCGCCACAGCGGGGCGTCACATTGCAGTCCTCCGTCGGTGGCAGCTTCGACGACGAGACCCTCAGGGTGCAGGTGCAATGCGAGGTTGCGTCAGACGGCCGAAGTTCTGCGGACCTCCTGAAAATGGCCGTGCCCGAGGCATCGGCGCCTGGCGGCGAGGTGGCGAGGACGGGCACGTTGCTGGATGTCAATGGCATCCCTGCGGCCACCGCCCCCTCTGGGGCCTGCGACGACATTGAGGACAGCGCCAAGACGCCCTGGAAGCCCTTGAGGAAGAGCCCAGGGCGAGGCAGCAGCCTGAAGCCCGGGGAGGGGCTCCAGCCTTCTTCGCCACTGCGCTTCAACCATTCGTCACTAAGGAGGCCACCCATCAACCCGAGAGGGTCCTTGTGCCAGAGGCGCGTGGTCGTCACGGACCAGGCACCGCCAAAAGGGGACAAGGCCGGGGGCGAGGAGCCTGGGTCTGCCACCGCGGTGCACAGGAGCGACACAGCCATGCCCATGCTGGAAGACAGGAAAGGGAGCGGCAGCATGAGGTCTGATAGGTCCGCGTGCTTGGCCGGCTGTTGGATGCAAGGAAGTGTCCCAACGGAACCACGGTGATACCTCTGCGTTTTCCAAGCGGCTGTACCTTTATGCGGTGCATCCGCAAAAGAGAGTGTGGAAAACGGAACGGCATAGAGTGAACGGCATTGAACGGCATTGGCTTGAGCGTGAAAGGCTTGAGCCTTCATGTCTGTATGATGCAACTATCAGGGCAGCCAAAGCAGAAATTGTCTACATGAAATACACACTAACATATGATTTGTTGTATCAGAAACAGGAACAAAGAAAGGGCAGGCTACTCCATCCCAAGATGATTTTCGTCTCCCAGCGCTCACCTTTGTCACACACCTGGCAGTGACAAGGAAAATGCTCGCACCCACCGGAAATATAATAAATAAACAAACAGTTTACTTTTAATGACAACAACAGGAAGTGAAATAACAGACAAAAACGCCACTCATGTCTTGAACTTTTCAGTCGATGACTTTTTGTGAATGGAACTGGAATATACGTACTGCAATGCTCCAGCACTACACCATCACAGCACTATAGTAGTGTATGTGAAGCACATAGTAGTGGATGTTTAATTAAGGTTCATTCTGTTACTTGTGCGTGTCAATGACTGAGATGAACTGTTGCTGATACATGCGGATGCACTGCCAAGAAATTAACAAGCACCATGAGTTGCTGAAGTGTATCCATTTTGTTGATGAAATGAAGTGACGGGGCATTGGCTGCAATACTATGTGCTTGTCAACTAAATGACTTGCCTCAGGCGACAGCGCTATTTGATGTGCCTGTGAGATTGATGTATTTGATAACCAAACCGCTGATGCTTGGGTGCTGGGTCAACAGATACCTCAAGGATGCTCCTGTCAGGCAGTCTGTTTCCCTGGAGTCTGCTCTTCTGTTTTGGAGGGGTATGAATCACATGTACAGAAGGTTAACGATGCTCACGGCGCATGGGCTGGCCGCCTTAGGTATGGTTCAGAAGCATCTCGCAAAGGAGGCTGGTGCAGTAACTGCTCCTGTTGCCTGTGAGGAACCCTCCAGAGGGCGAAGGCCTCTTGGTTGGGCCAAATGCCGAGGGTGTCGAGTTTGAGCTCATGAACAATGTATATCTAAATGCCCATGTGCATTGAGCAAAGACTGTATGAAAAATGTGAGCATGGACAGGCAAACCCTTCAGTTTCAGTTTCCTGCTGTTGCATTGGTGTTTCACAGGAATCGCATCGCATTGGCACTGAAGATATAATGATAGTTGGGTGTGTTGCTGGCAGCAGACAGAGGGCAGAAAGGCTTGCAACTGCTGTCAATTTAAATATGAAGTATGGCAAAAGACGTGGCTGCTATGTGTCTGCCAATGTACTACAATAAAAGCGACTTTCTGATATTCTACTTGTACGAGCAGCTGCCAACTGTGGCCAGAAGAAACATGTTCATGTTCTTGAGAACAAGTCGCATGCTCCCAAGCCATTGCACTGAGTTGACAATTTCTAATTGGCCGGTGCTCGGGGCCACTGCTGACGAATATTGGATGTCGTGGTCGGCAGTAGTGTGTACACACAAGGAAATCATAAGAATTGAGTGTTGGAATGTAGTAAAGTGAGATGCTATAGCATTGTTTCCGAGGTCGCTGAAGGCTCTGTGCACACCTTCAACAGGTTTTGGAGCACTTTTAGGGCTCGTTTTCTTTGATCTGGATTCTGTAGACACGGATGAGCTGCGAAGTCATTCTACAGCCCTAATGATGACAATGGTGGCGCTCAGCATCTCGGGAGTTGCCTCTGCGTGTGGCGTCAGTGCTGAGAGGGCGTTGGCCGTCCACGAAGTCAGGTTAGCATAGTGCAAGCCATAGGCTCTGTTGAATATGGACCACCCCAGATTTTGTCATTGCATTGTCACTCAAGGCGGTTAGGTGTCGCAGAGGCGAACAGGAAATGATGCCGCAATATAAACACATGTATTTTTAATCTACCATTGCCATTACACGCATCAGCGCGCTGTTATCTATCGCGGTATTTGTTGTGATTTTGTGGACTGATCAGTTCAAACTCCCGTTCTACGCACATTGTGAATGAACAGGTGGCTCAGGCAATTGTGGCTTTGTCTAAGATCCCTTATACTTGCATAGTGTTATGAAACGTTTTATGCAAAAGCACGCCCGTGCCAATGACTATAAAGACGTAAAATATCGCTCAAGAATAGGCTTTGACGTCTAACCAAGTCATTCTCGTCATTGATATCCAAGATTAGTGAAAGATGTCAAATTGAGTGGCACTATCTAAGGCCCGAGCAGTTGTTGGACGGCCAAGGCAGTAATGCCTAGACATGATTTTCGGCCTGGTTTTTATATTTCCGTTCATGGAGGATTGTGCAAAGTTGCGTTATAGGGAATGCGCTACATGAAGGTTGCCCATATGAACACTGCGGACAAGTTGCTGCCAATAAAAAAGGCACTCAAGCAATATGCAAATGTCAGTGTGGAAATAAGTGAGGCTTTACAATGGGAATTTATGGGTCAAGGCAAAAGATATTTCTCCAGCAATGTGATGGATATGGTATGGTAGTGGCTGTATCTGAAAACAACGGTTGTGAAGCTCAGTTGCTAGCCGAGGTTTGTATGCAATTTGTATTGAACAAAAGTGCAGCATAAATGGTTCGTTGCAGTAAAGGGCAACGAATGGAAGCCATTCAATCTGGAGAAGTGTATCTAAGCTCAGAGATTTTCAGTTGAATAAATCTATTGTTGAGTTAGAAGCAAAGATGGCAAGAGCTTGTAGACAACGGGCAAATGACGACATTGGTGATTATGGGAATTCAGAGTGGGGCGGAGTAGATTTGTTGGAGGATACATCTTCCAAATTTTTCTGTGTCAGGCAATGTTTTGTGTTAGTGGAATAAGGATTTTGCTCAAGCACACAATATCAGCTTCCTATGGAGTTTCCTTATTGCACCCTTTTAGGGCATGTGCTGAAAAGATCTGCCCACTTTTGTGCAGCTATGTACGAACGGGAACCACCAGCCATTAGGAATCATTCAAGGTTGTTAAGGGTTGTGTTATTTGGCTTCAGGACACGACACTACCACACAATGGTCTACGTACTGGTGCACTCCGTGCTGAGCTTTCTCATACTCCGCTTCATCCCTGTTTGCCTCTTCTCGGGAGTATTCCTTTCCATGTCAGAGCTCGATACCTGGTCCACGTTGTCATGGATGACCAGCATGCGGATTGTCCTCTTCGTGGGTGGCCTCACAACCTTTTGGGGCACCATAGCGGGGATGGCGAACCTGGTGCTCAGCATGAAGGCCACGGGAGGTGAGATTCGGTCTTTCTTGGTTCACGAAACGCTGCTTTAGGCTGTAGGCAATGGGTTTGTCCTGCGGTTCTTTAACAAGCTGATTTTCGGGTATGCTGCCGAGTTTTCGCCTGTTGATCGTGAAAATAGGAAGACAATATAGAAGTGTGCTGGAAAGGTGGCGTGTGCCACAGCTACGGGTGACATAAAAAATGTTGAGTAATGTGATACCATTTCTGGGAGCATATCATGGTCGACCTGTACACTCAAGGGCGGCTCAGCAGTGGTTGGTGTCGAAAGTGGCAAACGTGTGCGTGTTTGCATGGATTTTTAAACAGTAAATTTGACATTTCCTCCCCTTGACAGGTTTCAAGACTCTGGCGCTTATCGCCGTCGTATTGTATGGCCCCTTGGTGAGTGGCTTCCTGATACCGAAGGACAAGATTCCCTGGCCTGTGGGGTACATACACTACGCATCGCCTTTCAGCGTCACCTTCGAGGCCCTTATGATCAGCGAATTCAGCGGTATCAATATAGATACCAGCAGACAGGTGCGAATCTTGCATTTCAGAATCTTTTGAAATGGCAGTCAAACCCTTGAATGGCAAACTACTGAGGACTGTGGACGGTCCAGGGTAGCCAAACTGCACAGCTAGAACTGCGGTGACTCGAAAGGATCTGTGCTGGAACTGACTTTTGAGCAGCAGGGTTAAAACGGAAATGTGTGCGACTTCCAGAGCACTTGCATTTGAAACAATCGTACTCACTGTCGTGTCGCATACAAGTCCGGAGTGGACATAGTGAGTTTGTCCATGGGGGGAACAAAAATTTGCGCTCTTGGGATTCAATTGGTGGAGTGCATAGGCTACAGCAGGTGGCTGACTTGGCTGCTTGCCTTGCAGATAACTGCCGAGGCTTCTGAAGGGACACTGCCGTCTTTGGAGGAGGACTCGTTTCACTCCATGGGTCTCGATGAGGACAACATCGTGATCGACTCTGTCCTTGGTGTCGTATTCTATGCCATCATCGTCATTTTGGCCGTGGTCGGGGTGTGGGTGAAGTCCAAGCGGCCGCATGCGCTCTCTTTCTGGAGAGGCTGCTGCTGGTGAGGGAAGTGCCAGACGCAAAATGAAGGCGAACGAATTGGTGGGGAGGAATCAGGGAAAGTGCCCGGCTTCTGAGATGCGTTCGGTGTTCAAAGAATAAAAGTTGAAGGCGGGCACCTTGAGTTTGTGGCAATAACATGTAGCCTATGTTGGTAGACTGGCAACCACGAATAGTTGCGCCGCTGCTTTGGCGCTTCCAGCGCAGTTGCCACACTGTTGGGGGTGGACATGGCTGTACAGCAGTGTTGGCCAAACAAAAGGTGTTGTGCATCACGTGAAGGCAATTCTTGTGGCCATTCCGCCCGCTCCTGGGGCGGTGTATCTCCAGAATAATGGAGAATAGGCTAGATTAAGCTGTGAGGGGTTGCGCAAGAGTTGAAGTGTATTTTTGGACCAATAGTTAGTTGTAAGCCTGGCGAATCATGAAGATTGAAGAAAACGCTAGACAGCACTGGTCGAAGACTCCATGTGGATGTCGACTGCGGCTTCGCTCAGGATGGAATTTGGGTGTTGGGTTAGTGCCAGGGCTTGGCATCGCTGTTCCATCTCAGGGACTACGGTGATGGGTTGTGCCCAGCGAGCACTAGGTACCATAGGTGCCGTTGTGCCACTGCTCTGAAGCTGTACACGCTTGGCACTCTTCACAAAGAGGAACCCAGAGCACCAAAAAGGAATGGGAGTCTGTGGTGGGCATTTCCAAGGACAGGGAGTTCCTGCAGATCGCAGTGTTGACGAGGGCTCAAAACCCCAATGGGTAGCATTCAGAATTCTTCTGCATATCTAAAAATTACATCTGTCGCCCTGTTGGTGCTCAGACAGGTGGCCACCGCCAAAGCGGCAACGTGAAAGCAACACCGTGACGCATCGTGATTGCCGAATGTGCTAAGCGCCAGGTCAAGCTCGGCATACCAGGCAACGCAAGGCTTGCGGCATTCTTCATCCTTTAATTCATTTCGCTTGGTGGCGGACGAGGACAGGGGGTCACGTGTGCTGCTAGACCCTGTGCAAAGGGGCACTCTGCTTTGGATTGTGGATACCGTGTTCAGTGGCAAAACGGCGAGGGTGAATGATGTCAAAGCATGGCGCCGGTGGAGTGGAGCATATGACAGCCTTAGGTCTCGTTCCAGGGGCTCGGACAACCGACTATGAGCACGGTCGTGCCGGCATGTGGGCACGATACCATTTGAATCATGGTGTCAATTTGTCTGGAAAGCATGTATTGAATCGCGTACGTTTCGGAAATGTGTTGGTGGCGGTCGCCGTTACGCGGTGGCCTCACACGAACCCCGTCTCATGTACATATGGTTGATGGTTATGAATGCTACAACTCGAAATGGCTGAGGAGGGCGCTGAGGTGTGGAGGTAGGTGGGCCGACCAGCAGGCTGCAATGCCTCCCGTCCAGCACATGCGCGTACATTATCATATGGGCATGCCATGGATTTGCCAGCCCAGCATACGTGTACTTGCCAGGCACTTGGTACAGCAGTTGCGCGTGTACATGCCTGATACGAATCTCGCCAGAAGTTGAACTATGACTTGGTGAAATGGGATCTCGACATGATCATCGCGTCTCTTCGCGTGCTCAATTTCCCACCGAAAGAGATGGATGCCCGCTAAATTCCTGGTCGCGTACACCAGTCACGTCACATGCCTGAAAGACAGTTGAAGTCGGCAACCAGGTGATGGGAAGCAATCGCTTGCTCAATTGCTGGCAAGGCCTCTGGCCAGGGCCCACCGGGCACCCAGCAACCGTGGTGACGTGCCTTCACGATGGGATTGCACACCAACAAGCGCACCACGTCCTTGGGCCTCGCAGCAATCAGGCACATGGCAAGCTGCACGGTGGACTCGATTCCGTTGCGGTTTGGTGCCGTAGCCCACGTCCAATAGATTGACTTGCGGGGACGATGCCAGCACGGAGCTTGTAAAACAAACACCCGCCGGACACGTGCCCTTCATCGTTGCGACAACACCTTGTAAATGAACCACCAAGCTGCGCATCTGGGGGGGCAGCGCGCACCACCGTGCAGTGATTGATCCGTGTAGGGTGGGACGTAATTTCCTGCCGCCACGCTCGCAAGGACGCCACGCAGTGCCGCTTGTGCAGCGTTCTCCCAACGAGCCTGCCCCCGCCGGCTCATTTCGCAGAAGTGGCTGAGCAAACGGACCCTTTATGTCCAGGTTTGCTCCACCACCCATCCAACGATATCCCAAACACCACCCGCAAATTACTGATACAATCGTCGCACGCCGCCAACATTCAGTCGAGGAAGGAGACTACGCGTCTCGGCTTCCTCCGAGCGCTCAGCCAGCGTCGCTTTTTACTGCCAATCTGTCTTCTAGCCCTGGCACAGCCGCCCGATGCAACGCGAGGTCTTCTACAGCATGTTCACCAATATCGTTCCCCTTGGATGCACGGGCCTCAGTCCGAGGCCTCCGTCAGTATATCCAGCTCTTGCATTGCCGCCTGTCAAATCCGTGCTAGTCCGCCAGTCGACCCCGTCAACGCCCAGACTGTCGACTACAATCACTGACACCTCCACAGTGCAGGGCGATGCGAGGGTCTCGTCCCGCCGGATTGGTTTTCTCCATGAGATAGCGGAATCGCCCTCGGGTCGGCCCTTGCTGTCCAATGCGTTGTCGAGTTGAGTACATCAAATCCTACAAGTGCTCCCCTCAAATCCCTTCCAGACGTCCGGCAGGTCTCCGGACCCACATTGTTCCTCTGCTGCTTCCTCTTCGTCTGCCTCCAGAATTGGATACAGGTCCCTCCTGGCGCTGTGCCAGGATTTCATCGTTCGTGCGTCTCGGTTGCCCCTCGACCTGTGCTTTCGGGGTCTCTGCGCCTCAATCTGTGCCATTGTAGCTTGGCTCAAGTACCTGCAGCAAGAAAGGGCGCACGACGTCCATCAAAACCAGCTGTCGAAGGCAGTGCAGTCGCTGACGTCGTGGTGTACCAGCTTGAAATTTCGTCTATACTTTGGGACAACGACGCAACACAAGGCAATCTCGGGCCAGCAAGTGATCCACATTGTGTTTTCGCAGAGCGTCACGTTTCTTGATTGATTCATCTGACGGCAAGGCTGCCAGCCAGGTGGACGATGGCCGTGCAGAAGGCGGAAGGTCACGCAGAGGCCCTCTGTTGATGCTGGTTCACCCCCGAAGACAAAACGAATCTCTTGGCCCCCCCGGCCCCACCAAAAAACAGTGATTCCATAAGCCTGCTGCCAAACCGGATGACTGTACCTTGGGTGCGCGGTCAGGTTGGAGGCGACGTGCTGGGCGTGGTCCGCGCACAGGAGCAGCACCATGAGCACGAAGACGACCGTCAGGCACCAGCACAGGCCGAAGACGACCTCCCCGCGCTCCACCTCGAGCGCCTCGCCCCCGCCGCCCACAATCCACCCCCCGTTGGTGAACTGCCCGATCGCGGCCACGAGGTGGAACGTGCAGACCACCAGCGCCAGCAGCAGGCCCACGGCCAGGCGATAGCCCACCACGGGGCAGTTCAGCAGGGCCACGCAGGACAGGACGTACGCCACGGCCGCCGCGCACACCAGCATCTGCCCCCTGACGATCCACGCCGTCAGGACCGCCAGGCTGCCGCACTGCGCCAGCGAGCACAGCGCCTCCACGGCGGACAGGGCCCGCGCCTGGCCCACCAGCTCCAGGACGCCCAGGGCGGCGGAGGCGAACGCGGAGAACGCCCAGAACACCATCAGGTCGGCGGACTGCGACGGCCGCATCGGGCTGCCCCCCTTCGATTTCCATTCTTCGGCGCACATCCGCCCGGGAATGCTAAACCCAGACGTCGGCAGGCGCGGCACCGGGCGTTGGGCGGGGATGCCAATTGCGACCATTCGGCGACGGCGCCCCGCCAATTGGGGTACCCCGCGCCCGTCGCCGCTCCAGCGATGCGGCCCGTCCGCCTCGCTCGCTCGTCGTCCGCGCGCTGTCCGGGCTGTTCCCCTCCCGCAATCTTCCCGCGCCTTCACGGCGATGTTCGCGGCGGATGCCGGCAGGCGCTGCGGCGCGCCGTGAGCTGCTTCGCGGCGCGTCCGGCGCCCGGCGATGCGTCCTGGCGGGGCCTCAACACGCCGGGCTCGACAAAGGTTGGACAGGGCGACCGTGTGATTCTGGAAGATGGGCGCCTTGACGCGCCCTTCTCGGACGCCGTGCGGCCGCGCGGTTCAGTACACGGGCGCCCACGTCGCAGGCGCCCAGCGGTACACAGGTATGAGCGCCGAAGACGGTACGCCCGCCAGCCGTCACACAAAGTACGGCGGCCGGGGGGTGATAGGTCCTAACGCTCGCGGGCTGCGGATAAGGTGCGCGTTCCAGGCAACCCGCGAGAGGTGTGAGCCCCACATCGGCGGCCTGTCCTGTGCGCGCGTTGGGCATCGTTGATGCCTTGGGTGCTGGGAGACACCCCGGAGCTCGTCGAGGCGGAGCTGCTCGATGCTCCGGCGTGGCGGGCCCCAGGCATGGGGCTCGGGGTGCCGGTGTGACCCCATCAAGGGCAGTCGTGTGAGTGTGCACACAGATATTCTAAAGATTACGTCGAGCGCATGGAGAACAAGCCCGCATCAAAGGGCGCCAGTGAGCGGGCGTACGGCAGGCGCGAGCGGGGCGGACGGAGGGGATGGGGAGAGCGCCCTCCAGGGAAACGACCCAAATTTCCGCCCGCTCAACGGGGAAGCCCGCCAGGCGACAGTGCGGATAAGCGGATAAGCAATTCGGGTCATCCGTTCGCCAGTCAAGGTTTGATCGATCCATGGTTGGCGCCATGACGGAGGATTAGGATGGCGCTACATATTCGGGCGGGGCTAAGTGTCCTTGCGGGGTATTTAACCGAACCCATCGTGTCCATTACCCAGTGGTCGCCGTGCTGCTGATGGCCTTTTTGCTGTTGCCCTGAAGTGTTTCATGCAGTGCGGTGTACCAGTGGTACACGGCGCACAGCCGTATCCAACCGTATCCGTACGGGTACCGCCGCTCAAAAGGAGGTCAGGTACAACACTTCCGCCGGCGCCAGCCCGTGCGGTTCTTTGACCAACTGCCAGCAGAGTTTTGTATCGGCATCGCTGTCAATGTGGAAACGAGTTTCTGGCGAATGCGTCCCGAACCGCGTTTCTGGCATGAATGACAGCATATCTGTTCATATGAACGGTGACTGGTCTTTGCCAAATGGTTTTCAATCGCACGTGCTGCTCCCCCACCCCTGATTTTGAGGTTCTTGCCCACTCGACGCGCATCCATTTCTTCTGGCTGTATGTCCGGCGGATGTCTCATGCAAGCTGGCAGCTTGTAGCCTAAAGTCGCTCATCCAGGAAACACCGCGTACAGCATCCTGCAACGCCTTTTCGGCGCCGGTAAGCTGCGACAACTGTGTCACGCATGCCCCAGAATGGAAACAGCATTGCTCGGTCTTTGCGGCAAATTGCGCCTACCGGATGTCCGTCATTTGTCCTATTATATCAATTCGAGCGCATCGAAAACGAGTGGATGAATGTACATGTTGACCTAAGTGTGATTGGCTTACGTGGATGCACACAGAGCTGCCTGACGTGTTTGGTGGAGCGTTTGGTTTATCTCAAAACCAAACAGTAGTTGGACCTACATGGTGTGCGTATCGTGCCACACGCTCAAAACACATCCTCCAAAACAGACTGGCAGAATGTGACCGCCATTGGCATGTCGAAACGGACAGAAAGGGGTGAGGGTGATGCGTCACGTTGATTCGCGCCCTCCATTCATATTGTCCAAAGAGTTAGAACCGACATGCTGCTACAAAAGAGCCCTTCATACATACATGAAATACAGAGCACCGCGGCTGGCCTGCACACCCCAACAAAGGCACTCCTATCAAACCAACCATTCATTAAATAGAGAATATCAGTCGACATCAGCCACTCTACTCCCCAGCTTGCTCGCTCTCTGTCTGCCGTTTTTGTCTGCCCCTGTTTTTCAAAAAGGATTGAATGAAGCCTTCTAGGTCACCGTCCAGCACACCCACAACGTCCGTCACCTCATGCCCTGTCCGCACGTCCTTGACAAGCTGGTAAGGATTAAACACATAATTCCTAATTTGCTGTCCCCATTCCGCCCTTACCAGATCGCCCCGTATGTCTGCAGCCTGCTTCGCCTTCTGCTCCTCGGCGATCACCATCAGCTTGGCCCGCAGCAGCTCCAACGCCGTGTTCTTGTTCTGCAGCTGTGACCTCTGCTGCGTGCACTTCACTGTAATCCCCGTGGGCTTGTGTCGCACCCGCACGCCCGTCTCCACCTTGTTCACGTTCTGCCCACCCTTGCCGCCAGACCGCATTGTGGTGATCTCCAGGTCCTTGTCTGCCAGCTCAAATTCGCTCGCCTCCTCGCCAAGTACTGGCGCAACCTCCACCGCAGCGAAGCTGGTCTGGCGGGTGTTGGCTGAGTTGAAAGGTGAGTTTCTGACAAGCCTGTGGGTGCCCTTCTCTCCAGCAAGGTACCCATAAGCGTATCTGCCAGACAGCTCCAGCTCGACGTTCTTTATGCCCGCCTCTTCACCAGGCAGCCTGTCCAACACACGGATCTCAAATCCATTCTTCTCCGCCCACCTGAGGTACATCCTCTCCAACATCTCCGCCCAGTCCATCGCCTCTGTGCCACCAGCTCCAGCTTGTATGGTCAGGAAGGCAGAGTTCGCATCATAGGGGCCTGAAAGCAGGAGCTTCAGTTCCCAGTTTGCAAGGTCCGAGTCCAACCTAGCATAGCACAAAAGCCCTTTGTCAGCTCATTGTTCTTTCTGCCACAAAGCCAGCGACTACCCAGGCCACCAATTGCCACCCGAAGAATGGCACAATTCCTTGCTTTAATGCGTTTGTCCTTAATCACAGTTAGTGCAAATGGCACCTGGGCAGCTCTTCGTATTGTATGGCCCACCAATGGCACGTCTCTTTCTTTCAACATCTGCTGGACAACACATACAGAGCTATGAGGCCACGTCTGCCTACCCTGGTTTGGCCATGGGGTCCTCTTACAACTATTGACATCGCTGTCTTTGTTGGTGATGCCATCCCCTTCCTCCCAGCTCATCATGATCCCCGTACAGTCCTTTCGCCTCGATCTGATCAGGCAAGAGTATCTGAGCTCCCCATGTCTTGGGCTGATTCCTGCCCGTTGATACCTCCTATAACCCGAGGTCTGCCCAGGCGATTCCTCCCCAGTGAGTACAGCCAGCCTCTACGGGACGTCAATCCACATCCAACATTGGTCCATCCAATGATGGTCCACCAGAGAGCATCCACGATGCGGCGATTTTGCATGCTACAGCTCTAGACACTGTGTTCCTGCACGTCATGTGACCTGGACGCACCTCGGGGAGCGTGTTTTTTGCCGGCCACACTCAAGGAACGCGCGAATAACGTCAAAGTGGCCGACCAGGTTCGCGCCACGCCGTCTGTGCCGCAAGACGCACCTATCCAACGCCTGCGCAACATCCCTCCTCAGCAAGCGCCCCTCCGCGTCATCGCCGCCTCCCTCCAGGAGCTCCAGGCCCACCGCCGCGTCCTCCAAGACCCCCTTGCACTCGCCCACGTCCGCCAGCTCCCTCTGGATGCCCTTGCTCTGCGACAGCACGCTCTGAGCGCGGTCGGGATCATCCCACAGCGACGCCGACGCCGCCTCCTTCTCCAGCGCCGCCAGCCGCGCCTCCATCGACGTGACATCCAATACGGCAATGGCGTCGTCCATCCGCTCGCGCAGCTCGTCGTAGCGCCGCTGGAGGGCGCCGAGCTGCTCCACCGCGTCGGAAGCGCCCAACCCGCGCTGATCGGCCGCGGGGGCTGTGGAGGCCATGCGGGAGGTCAGACGCCTGGGCGGACGGGACCCGGGCCCTTCGACCAGGGCGCAGGCACACAGAGCCCCGTGGGCACTGCCCTGATGCCCATCGGCAGGGCGGGCGCAGGGATGCCCCAGGCACGCCAGGGCTCTGTGCAAGGTGGCCAGATTCCTTTCCACGACGCCCCGGCCCGATGACAGCGCGGCCGTGCGCAACCCCCACATCGCCCAGCGCCCAGACACCAACTGGAACGCCGGCTCCCAGAGGTTCTCCCTGGGGAACAAATACGATATCGAAATACAGCAATATATGGATAACAATATCGAGCGAAATTAACATGATACCGAGCGGATGCCCCGTTCTCGAAGGCCCACGCCCACCTCCGACGTGTTCCCGGTGCGTTGGGTTCAACCGCGCGGAAGGGAAGGGAGGGCGGCGGTAGCTATGTCTCGCTTTCTGCCCCTCGCCCTCACGCGCGCCGCCGAGGACGGCGACCTGGCGGGGGTGGCGGCCGGCCTGGACGCCGGCGTGGACGCCAACGCCCGCAGCGTGTTCCAGACCTGCCTTCTGCACATCGCCGCGCGGCGCGGCCACCACGAGATGGTGCTGGAGCTGCTGCGGCGGGGCGCGGAAGTGGGCGCCCTGGACTACGGGGGAATGCGGCGGACCGCGCTGCACTGGGCGTGCCAGCATGGGCACGTGAAGTGCGTGGAAACGCTGGTGGCCTGGGGGGCGGACACCAAGGCACAGGGGCGGAGCTGGGCGAAACTCGTGCAGGGCCAGAGGTGTGCCGGGGGTGCTTGCTTGGCCGGAGGGGCTGCGCGTTTGTCTGCGGGGCCAGTTTCATTCGCATGGAGCAGGTACCGAATGGCCCTTGCGCGTGCGGCCTGCTGTTCAATGGGCATGCGTGGCATTTTGATTTGTGTGGGCTCCAGAAATCCTGAGGCGCAGTGCCCATCTTGGCAAGCTGGGCGGCTCTGGCTATAGGAGACAGCCTTTGTCTGTTTGCAAAGGCGACGTAGGCATAGCATCGGTGATAGGGGCTCGCAGCGCTAATAATTCGGTTGTGGGAGTGACTGGTGTCAATGCCATTCCTAATTGCGCCGCGAAGGATGCTTGGAAGTCGTCGAGGAATGGGTCTTCGAATTCAGCGAATGGTCCCCAACTTGACAAACGCAAGCCCCATGCTTGGGCAACACCCATCCTGATGAACATTGTTTGAGTCTGTTGAAAACATTGCAGAGATGGCCAAACCAGAGTCTAAGGGTGGTGTGGCAGTGGTTGCGATGTTTCCGGTCCAATTGTGGCACATTTCTTGGGATTGAAATCCTTCTGGAGAGGCATGTGTTACAAAAGGAATCAACGAATCAACGTTTCCTTGCAGGTGTGGAGAATTGCTGGACAGCGCATCGCCATGTGAACAATCTCCATCCAGTCTGTGCAAGAACAACTCTGTTCGCTTGGCACTGGAACGGCCAGCGTGGAGCCCTCAGATCCACAACCAATTCCCATCCAGATTCAGGGATGCAGTGCAGCTGTTGCTGATGGCTGCCGGCAGAGGCGATAAGGTGCCAGACAAAACCAAAGCCAGCATCTGTAATCTCAGCAGGGATGCGATGTGCGTTGTGATCCGCCATATGGCATACCCTTTGAGCGCCTGGATGTGAAACCAAGCTTTGAAAGCACTGCACCAGGTCCCTTCGTTTTGAGACTGGAGGCCACAACAAGCCATATCGAAGCATTGAAGAAAGTGGGAAATGGTGCATCCTGGAAAGGTTGTCTGGCATGGGCATGCTTGATGTGCAACAAGGGGATCGGGGTAATGGGAGGTTTCAAGGGGAACGGCCTAATAGGAGGTCTTGCATATCAGAGCGTCAAAGGGGCGTCCAGTATGCACAGGCACCAACACTGATTTGTTGTTGATATTCAGTCAAACCTTCAAATCCATACGTGAACAATTCTGAGGAGCGCCTGTATCAAGCTGCTCAGTCTGGCGACCATCTCAGCAGCAGTTGCACCCTTGTGGTGACTGCATGTTGTCAATTATTGAGAAGTGCACCCTCATGTAAGTTGAGATGTCACGGGTTTTCTCATATTCTGGGAACGTGGGCTTAACATTGCACCACAACGTCGCTTGACAACCACTTCCACATTCGTGTAGGCCGTTATGGTTTCTTCAGGAGAGCTGTTGTGACGCGCACGTCTAGGCAGTGCACAATCAACAACCCTACTCCATATTACGTGGCTTCTAGTTCTACAACGCTCCTTGATATTGTCCCAACGCTGCTCACAAATTCACTTGTTGGGAGTACAATAGACTGTGCTTGCAAACAACACTGGCTGTGGTGAGACTGGAAAGTCTACGCTGTCAAGCGATCACAATGCATGCAACGCGCACGGCAAACACCATTCATCATGCACTGTTGCTGCGTTTCTATGTGCACAAGCGGCCCATGGAAGAAACCCTGCAACCCAAATATTGCAGACAGCGCATCTCCCAATATTATAATCTTCTGAGTTTCTTGCACGCAATAGTGGGCATGTCCACGTGTTCAAGAACGGTCTATCCCTCATCAACTCCAATTTCCCCCCCTTCCTCCTCCCCAATTCATAAATTTTCTAATCAAAGAATGAAACTTTTGGGGCTGCTGACACCAAAATTGAAGAACGAGTGTGGAATCAGCGCCCTTGCCCACTGCAGCATAGTCCCAAGCTCATCTTAAACTACCATTCAACCCAAGGATTCGTTCATTGTGCATCCATGCCAAGAATTAGAAAGATTCTCAGCTATCTTGTGTTTTCCACACATTGCTCAACACCCACCAAGACACCCTCACAACATAAAATCCAACACCACGACTTCATCCGCTTCCTGGCGGGTTCTATGGTGGATCCAGGCTACTCCAGTAGGTGCCTGCATTTATTTCCTAGCCTCACATTCCTAGCAAATCGCAGATCGCACTCTGCAGCCTCTTAGCATTCCCTGCACACCAAGTCGCCCCCAAAATTTGCAATTGATCAATTTGCAACGCTTTGGTGCACTTCCAATGAACTCCAATCTGTAGCTATGCACAGCAGCACAAGCTGGCTCATAATGCAACCCCCTTACCACGCATCTTATCATTACCACTTGTTCTGGAGCCCCGATTGATTTAAGTGCTGTTTAATCATCCAAAACACCCAGAACTGTCCACTACAACTTTCTCATGTCTGTTCCTCTTTCTTTCCTCTTTCCTCGTCTCTTTTCTTCTTTCGTCCACCTTCAGGACATGAGCTCCAGATACTCGTGGCTGACTGGCTTGAGTTGTAGATGGCAAGTGCATCCCTGGTTGGCAACCGCCCGCCTCAAATACTCTCCAGGTATCCTGCACGACTTGAAGTACTCATCCGTGCGGAAGCCCCGCCTCAGGGCGGGCCGCACGTCCTCCACACCCTGCAGGACCTCCAGGCAGGGAAGCACCGTCCCAAGCAGCCCACTGTCATACGGGTCCCCAAGGAACGGCGGGCAGGGCAGCAGGTTGAATGGCTGCAGGTGCCCCGCCAGGGGCTTGTCGTCCACCAGGACCGTCTTGCTCAGATCCCGCCCCAGCGCCCAGAGGTCCTTCACGTTCTCGTGGTACCGAGTCCTCACCGTGGCGTCGCGGAACAGACACGCAGAAAACAGGCTCCCCGTCGGGTCCAGCCACTGCACCAGGGGCTGGGCGTAGGCCTCCTCCCCTGCCGTGAACAGGACCAATTCCGCGAAGTCTGAAACGCGGGTCAGGAACTCTTCCACGCCCGGTCTCGCGGCCAGCACCACGGAGGCGCCGTCCCTGGTTTGGAAGCGCGTGCCCCTGACCTTGCCCGAGTCCACGGCAGCCAGGACATCCCGCGGCACGGAGGCCAGGGGGTAGCACGCCAGCAGCGTGTGGTCCAAATCAACGACGACGGTCATGGTCTTCGAGGATGGCGGCCGAATGCCTCGGGATTGCAGCAGGCTTGGCTGGCAACCCCTCTTGCAGGCCACCTTTGGCACCGCAGATTTTCCAACCGGGCTGATATTCTCCAAAATCTTCTGCCCGTTCTCGCGACTCATCCCCTTGCCGCTCCCTCCCGACTCTCTAGTTTCGAATTCTGACCCCTGTGCCGCCGCCTCCCCCTCCCCCCGCTGTCGACGCGAGTCCCTTCGCCGCGCCATGGGCCAGCGGGCGGAAACCACCGCGGCGCCGAGCCACAGCGCCGCCACCTTGCCCCACGCCCATTGCCACTCTGCATGCGCTCGAGAGCGCCACAGATCACCGACCCACTGCCAAAGCATGCACAGCGCGTAGGCCGCCAGCAGGGGCAGCACAGACCCGATCCCTTTCATCGGCGCCACTTCGAGCGTGGCAGACGCCGACATTCCGCCACCTAGCATAGCCTCCAGTCGGCTGCCCAGGCAAGACAATCAGCTAAACTGAAAGCGGTCCCCCCTGAAAGGTGTCTCCTTGCTCCGCCTCCTGATGGCGTCCCTCAGCGGGGCGCACTGCCGCCGCCGCGGCAACCGCGCCCGGCCGCCGTGGCTGCACCAGAATCACACGCCCACAGGCTTCAGGAGATCATTTCGGGACAACCGCAAAGGCCGGCGCCGGCGCGCCAGCAAGGTGCAGTCGGCGCCGGCGCTGCAGGCGCCGAGGCCCTCATCGCAGCAACAGCGCCGTGCGGCAGACGCCGGGCAAGTTCGCGGCTTGCACCCCCGTGTCTGTCATTTTGGTTCGTGAGTTGGCCAAGGAGCCATTTCTGAAGAATACAAACGCACTTTTGCAGCTCAATCCCTCCTGTGCAAATATGCACGGGGATTCACGCCCGCGGGCGGCCAATGGACGCCCACCATTTCAGGGCGCGGGGTGGGGGCAAAACGGCGCAGGGGGAGCATCAACGGTGCGCACCTGTGGCCACTTCGCGCTTCGGGCAACTGGGGGACGCGCGGGGGCACGCAGCCGGCGCCGCCACGCGCTGTGCGTTTTCCTGCGCACTGAAGATGGCCTTGCGCCAGGGTCGGTCGGCACATAACCGGCAGTGACAATGCCCGGCCCTACCTAGACAAGAAAGGCGTTTCTTCAGGCTCGGCCTTTTAGGGATGGGTGCGCCATGGCTGTCGGCATGACCATCGCCAGCCGGAAGGCCAGCGCGATGGACTGCACCTCCGATGAGCTGCGCCGACCAAACAGAGTGCAGGCGCAAAAAGCATGGACCACCTGGGCATCGATCCCAGTACCTCTCGCATGCTAAGCGAGCGCTCTACCATTTGAGCTAGAGGCCCAGATGCACTGTAAGCGGTCAGGGTTCCATATAATAGCATCTTTAACAACATATTCAGGCAATATGCACAGTATCCAATATGCACAGCAGTTGGCATGTATTTCCCCAAGGGCCGGGACATCGTGTGGCTTAATGCTGTAGATTGACGCGGAAAGGTTTCACCGACATCTGAGGCGCTTTAGCCCAGCCCTTACATGTGCAATATGCCACTTGGACGTGAGGCGAATATGACTCAGCGAGTATGCCACCAATGAAAACAATGCACAAGATGCGTCGATGGAACTAGATTTGTCTCACTTCTTTCTCAGTCATTTCCAAAGCTCATCCACGTCATTGCCAATGTGGCCACAACCTTCTTCGATGTTGCTGGCCCTGCTGACTGGCATATCTATCATTTCAAAGTGTATCTGCCCCCACAGGCACAAACAGCAAGCTTTCGCTGAGGGCGCAGTTGCAAGATGAGCCCCTGCTACCAGGAATGTGCCCTGACTTGAAAGGAGCAGTCCAGGCACCGACCTAAAGTGCAAAAGGTACATGGACGCACAGTCCAGGCTGAAAATAAGCTCACTCAGAGAGGCATGACGTCCAGCGAGCAGGGCAAACCTCATGGTAACATGGGCTACAGGCACCTGGGCATATATGCGTGATGTGAAGGCACTGAGACCTGCACCAGCTCCAAAACGTGTGTGATCAGTGGTTGCACTCATCCAACAAACTGGCTGCGAATCTGATTGGGGTGGCGTGGCCAACCCAACAGGGCAGCTGCGTCACCCATGACAGCAGCCAAACGGGCGCCAACATTCTTGGGTAGGTTGGGTCGTGCTGGATGGGATTGGATGTGGAGGGTTTTTGGGATGGCGACAGTACCCATAAGAGAGCCTGGCAAAGACCACAGCCGTGCACTTCTTGGTCCCCTGCTAGTCGACTGCTCCCCAATTAAATAGAGTATCAATGTGCAATGAAATACGATCCAAAAACCGTGGAAGATTCATGCGTCACTGGCCCAACGCCCCACATCGCTGCTGCCCGCCCTGACATTTAGCCTTGTGACACATAGCGACCAGCAGTCCCTCTTGGCAAAATGCCGATCCTCACCAGGTCACCTGGCATCGAGGGGTCCACAACCCAGGACCTGTTCGGCACCAGCACAAAGGTGGGCACAGGCTGTCAGGCAGCATCGGACATTGAGAGGGTTCTCCCATGGCAGCCCCTTGTCTTGCATGGTCATCACTGCCCATCACAGGTTCTTGGTCCATCTGCTGCTCATCCGGCAGTTTCAGGGTCACCACATTTGCAGGGGAACCTCAGTAGAAGAGTGACCGGAGGTACAGGACCAGCAAGACGACCAGAATCACCACACCAAGAGGCATATACTTTCGAATCAAAGCCTGCAACAAAACAAATTCGGCCAGTGAGGCAAGTTTGTGAGCTTTTCAACAGGACTCAGCATCATGCTCATCAACTGATGGTGGACAGGCAGTGTTGCTGTCAGCTGGGATCAGTAATTGCTGTATTTTGCCTTCAAGCTCAGCCGCCCTCTGGCAAGGCGAAAGAACCAACACCAATGTGAATGCTTCAAGGATAGGCCCTCTGGGCTGCCTTTGTTGCACTCTTCTTACAGCGTTCTGTGATAGCACAATTCTTTGCTGCCATGGCAAGGCTGCAAGTTAGGACTGGCACAGCAGAAGCTGTGCTGTAACCAGGGAGAAACTGCAACGATACAGTATCAACTACCAATTGACATTATCAAACATTGACAGGGAAGATTGACCATCACAGGCATGACAGGCACAGGTCAGACCTGTGTGTGCAAATCCTTTGCCTGTCTTGCATATTTGCTGCTGTCCTCCTTTAAGCGTCGGCCCTCATCCACCATTTCTGCCACACATAGCAATATCCCAGGTGAGAGGTGGCAAGGTCCAGCCAGTTCTCTGTCTGAAACAACTCCTGTACCCTTTGGGCAGTTGCAATCAGAGGATGCAATATTGCCAGCAAGGGACAACAACACCAGGAGAGTCAAATTGCTCCACATGGCCTCAGGGCAATCTGAGTGGGCAGTGCTTCTATGTTTAACAAATGTGATCATGAAGCCATACAACAAAGCAGCAAGGTGTCACGATGGTTCTCTATGGCTGGCATCGCATGCCATCTTGTAAGCCATGGACAATACTTTGGCACAGACAGCGTTATGGGTATGCAATGAACAAGAAAGAACAACACAACTGAAGATCACGAAGCATGAACATCAGAAGGTCTTGCACTGAATCTTGAGTGGAACCCAAACTACTGGGCGTTAAGGACGAGCCACAAACCATCTATTGGCAGAATGGAACAAGTGCAGTGAGCAGTCATCCTTGTGCCACGACATAACAGAAGGTACTCACTGTTTAGCCGCTCTCCTTGGCCCAACACCTCCTGTATGCTCTTTGTCATGATCTGATGCACCTCTGACAGCTCCTCATTAAGCTTTGCCATGTTCCTCTGAGTCCGTGTGTCCAAGTACAGTCTCTTGGTCTTTTGAATAAAAGTGTCTGAAGCCACAAAACATCGTGCACGGCATCGTCAATCTCCTATATCAGCCACATGAAAAGCATATAAAACATCCAAGCAGGCAGCAGACAATCCACTTAGTCATGTCAATATGAGAAAAGGATACATATCGTCTTGACGCAAGCCAAGAGCAATGCTGCACACTGCAGCCAGTCATATCATGCATCCATGCAGTGCTCTTTCTGCTCTTGGACTTAGGAGCATCAACATTTTCAGCCTAGCAGGCAAATGCCCCAAACTTATTATCTTGTACGGAGAAGACTTGTGGCGGACATGTGACATCCCAGGGCCACCAGTCACAAGACAAAAGGATTTCAAATTTTCAGAAGAGCAGCAAACACTGGGAATTGTTCTGGATCGGCAATGTGCTGAAAAGGGTCACCAGTGAGCAGGGCCAATAACGTTTGAGTGTGGCAAGTGAGCGGCAATATCACAGCCATGCCTTCACCAGTGCTGTTTCCATGATGCATTCTACAAAACGACCTTTCAATTCAAAGGGCAGACTCGGTTGCCAAATGCCCTGTTGCTCCCCCAACCATATCCCCAAAACTTGCTGCTCCTCTGGCTGCAACAGCCAAATGAGGGTTCAGGTAATGTTGCCTTACCAAATTTAATGAAGGCGTACGGGCGAGCGACGGTCTCTATCTGCTGGCCATACAGCCTCTGGAACTCGTTCAAGAGCTCGTCCAAGTACTGGAACGCCAGCTTCTTGGGGTAGCTCTTCTCGGCCACTGTCATGTAGCACACGACGCCTTCGATCACAATGTGAAAGGAGAACTTGCCACTGTCGATGGACATCCGGTTGACAGTCTGTCGCTCTTGTGAGAGCCGTTTAATAAGTTTCTGTCAAGCAGGCGCACAAGCCAATAGTCAATGATGGGAAAGAATAACGAAGGGCACCTGGGAAGTTGCTGGCTCATTTTCTAACTCCCTGCAATGTACACACAACAGAAGGAGCCACAAGATGGTCCAATCAAAACAGACGAACAAAAAAGAAGGAACAAGCGATGCACATACAAACAAACTGCAAATAAAGAGACACTATGTCGAGCAGCCACTAGCTGCAGTATGCATGATAAGATGCCGATGACTCATGTGACCCGCCACAGCACCAACTCGAAACAGCCCACCCCTTGCTCCACGGTTGGGCCACGTCCCTGTGCTCAATCAGCTGCCAAAATGGGCTGACACGCAACCCCACACCCCTTGGTCCCTTGCGCATCAGATGCCCTTATGGCAGGGATGGGACGCCAGCGATCGGGCACAGCGAGAAGCCACACTGCGAGAGTCACAGTGGTCTGGCTCTCTTCCACGCTCCGGCCACCTTTCAGGGTTGCGTACATTCACCATATCCAAATCTCGCAGCGCGATTCCGAGAGAACAGATCCCGTTAGCTCCCACCTTCGCCTGGTGCTTGTGGTCCTCGAGCTCCACTGCCTTGTCGTTGTCGAGGCCCTCAGCGAGTGGCAGGCCATCTGAAATCCGCGCGATCAGTGTGAGACGGACCATCGTGGGCCCGGCCTGGGGCGAGCGTTGTGGGGCGTCGCGGGAGCCCAGCCGCGCCGCAACGGGTCGACCAGCCCTCGAGGGAGCGGGTAGTTTGGACCAGAGCAGGGCGGCGTGCCTGCACCAGTGGAGTCTTCCTGAAGGATTAGAGACACTGTGCACCAACTGTTGATAAATGCTCTTTGCTCGCTGCTGCTAGCAGGCCCAGGTGTGACAGGGGCTTTTTCCCTTCACCAGGAGTGAGAGTGTCGCTTTTCCCCTCACCACTGCCATCATTATTGCATTCACCGACCCTTACGGTACAGCCCTGCGAACTTCCCGCCCAATGGCAGGCTGAACATGTAATTACAACTACATATTCAGAACGTCACAACCGTGACAAAATGTCCACCTGATCCAATTCCAACAAAGACCAATTCGTCGCCATCCCACAAAAACACGTATTTACCATGTATCCAAACACGGGTATGTCACCCGCAATCCAAAGAGTGCCTTTTCCGGTCCCAAATGTTCATCTCGAGCGAAGTCCCAAGGATGTCAAAAAACCAACCCAAAGAACCAAGGAGAGGGCGGGCGGGGAGAAAACAAAGTGCAGCCTGACGGCGCGTCGCCTCCTAAGGCCTCGGCGCCGCCGGTAACAGACCCCGATCAAGCCAAAACCGGCCCCAAGGACCGTTGCCTCCCTTGGGGCCCTGGAACCAGACTGTTCCCGCCCAAACTGGGCGCCCCGCTGACAGGACACAGTCGGGGCAGCAATTTTTTCGCCCGCCCATCTTCGGGCCTCCCGTAAACTGGCTTACTAAACGTAACCATCCCTTCTGGCACATGCCCAACGGAAGAGCACGGGGAATGCTTCACTTTCAGTTTGCAGCAAGAATTAGGAGGGGCTGTTGGAGGCGGCTTTCAGGGCAGTAGCAAAAGCCACGCCAACTGTCCGCCGTCCACCCCCTCCCCCACCCCGTTTCCCCCAAGAAAGAGAAAAAGAAAACCAACGAGAAGTGCAATTCTTCTGTCCCTCGTGAGCTGTCCTCAATTAACGCTCCGCATCTCCCTCGCGTTCATCCGACCATCAGGCCGCAGGCCAACTCGGACCCAGCCGACGCCGAGCCACAAACAAGCACCGCTGCCGTTGTACCTGAACAGCCGCTCAGAAGACCTTCCGTCCAGAGGCTTGAGAGCGGCGTGCAGCGTCAACGGTGAGTAGGAGCGGGACAGAACCGTGGCGACTCCATCGAAACTGTTGATCAGCACAAGTCCACGGGCTTCTGAAAAGCTGACAATTCCGGCTCGACCGCAGCGGAACATTGCTCTTATAATAGACTGTGGCAGGGATGCTTGTGTCCTGGCACCCTATTTGCAGCTCGGGTACGTTGGACAACGGTGAGGAACGGGCGCCGAAGCTGCCTGGCCTGCGCAAAATGGCTTCCCAGACTGTCGTGGGCGGACACGGCGAAGCCGTTGGGATTTGTTGCTACGTTTCTTTTTCTGGGTGCGTTACCGGTCTTATTACCGATTTGTGGATTCTTGTGTCTCTTATGTTAGGCATTTTCGCCGGTTTACACGATTCCATCTGACCGTCTGAACCAGCGAACGCGGCGATTCACAAGAGACGATTTTGTCCACGGTGCTGCTTGGAGGAGACGGTGGACTTGTGTCGTGGAGCCGTGGGCGATGCGACGCCTGAGGTTCGCACTGGTGTGCGCTTCCAATCAAAACAGATCCATGGAGGCCCACGCACTGCTAGCGAAAGATGGCTTTGATGTAGGTGGACGCCCCCGGCATTCACGCGCTGCCGGACCAATCTTGCCGTTTGCTCGCGTTGTTCGCAGTTTGGTTGCTGTTTCTGCCTGTGAGTTGCTTTGCCTTTGTTGGGGCGCCAGAGTTGCAAATTGGCAGTGTTGCACAAGGCTGGTTGCATTCTTCAGGCAACTGTGGTTGTGGACAGAACAGCTCTCGCTGCTGGTTCCAGCCATGCCCAGTGAATGTGCAGAAAACGAAATGTACACAATGTGAAATGTAATGACCTGTATCACTGTTGGACGTTGCAGGGCAAAGAGGCTGATGTGGTTGGACATTATTCTGAAACGTGTCTACTGCTCCACTGGCTATGCATGCTTATGAATATGGCTAGCGATTATGGGAACACTTTTCAGTGGGGCTGTGGTACACAGTGAAATCTGCGGTCTGCATGGCCAGGATGACATTGTTTCCAACAAGATCTTAGCATACATTATGCTGGGATCTTGGCTCAGGACTGGCATTGCAGGAGATTGTTCAACGTGCAGAAAGCCCTTTCCTCAAATTCCTTGTCTCCAATTTTGATGCTCCATATCTCTCTCTATATTGTTATATTAATGACTCTCTATGTCTCTCTCTCTCTATGTCTCTATTTGAGTTTGCGATGTGTACTATGCTGTTTTGCTGCTCAGTTTGAGGGCAGTGCCTGTTGCAGTAGTATTGTTTGGCTGTTAGCATCAGGGTAGACTGGCCCATTTATGGCAGAGTCATCGCCTTTTCCGTGTTGTGCATGCTGCCTATGTATTCCACTGGCAGCTTGCAATGCTTAATGTTCTGCATAAATGCAGCCTCTGTAGTAGCGGATGAGAAGGCATGCAAAAAGGAAGGACTGGTTTGGACCAAAGTGAGCACTCTCAGGCAGCTTGCAATGTGGAAGTGGTCGTGCAGGATTTTTAAGGTAGCGACACTCTGTCTTCATCAGTTGACGGGTATTGATAGATTCGATGGCACAGATCTCCTAGCTCATGCCACAGTAGCACCGAGATGTATGCACAGAGTTTTGTACACATGCCAGCTGCTTTTGGTACCCAGCAATGCAGTCTTGGAGTTGAAAACAACTGCCTTTCCCTGCAGGTCAGCTCCTACGGAGTGGGGGGCCATGTCAAACTGCCGGGACCGGGGCCTAAGCAGCCCAATGTGTACGACTTTGGGACACCTTACAAGTTTATGTACGATGACCTGATGTCAAAAGACCCCAAGCTATACACACGGAATGGACTGCTGAAGATGCTGCAGCGAAACATGGATGTGAAGACAGCTCCTGAACGATGGCAGGAGCAGAGGTGGGCATGGTTAGATGGAGTGACATCTCCAAGGCATGTGCGCTATAGTTGTCCAAAGCAAGCCAACATTCTGGGGTACTGGAATCGAAGTTGCAGCCAGCAAGCTCAGCTGAAACCCTGAGGTGTAGCAGAAAGAATTTCTGCCCAAATGGGAGGACACACATCAGGGACAAAATTGCTAGCACTAGCACAGAATACAATTGAGATGCAAGTATGTAACATATATCACAGGTGCCAGGAACATGTGGGGCACCATCTTGCCTTGTCCTTGAGCTATCTTGCAACCCCCCCACATTTCACATCATGTCGAATGTCTTGTTGAACCAGTAACCTTACCCACACACCTTGTGTTGTAGTATTGACTGCCGCTTCGCCAGCTTACCACGCTACATACCAATCAAAAATGCGACGTCAGTCACAGTTAAGATGTTGAGATATTATAACATATCATGCACTGCGTTGTTGCACCTGTGAACATTTGCGAACGAGAATGTCTGATGGCAGACACCATGCGACCATGTGACAAGTGTCAGCGAAACAGAAGAAACAGAAGGAATTTGTCCTTTCAAAGCAACCTTTCGTACTTTGGGAGCTGACTCATTGGGTGATGGTGCTGCCCAGCATAGTTCCATACTAACCAGGCACCCCGTGCTGCACCGATCATGTTTGATAACAGCAGGGGTGCTATCTGAAGTTGCCCCCCCCACCCCACCCCCCCAAAAAAAAAAGAAAAAAAAACTGTGTGATGTACGGTATTCTCTTGTGTAAACCTCACAAGTGTCTACATGTTTTCTGTTTCTTCCCATTGGGGTCAGTTTTATGCATTTCCAAATATTTCCTGCGAACTATGCATCTGAATGTAATCTGATGCCCTGCTGTGTCAGCAGTGGTACTGGACTGCTGCACAATTGCAGCATGCACCCCTAGCCTTGGTCATGCGTTGGTTGTGGCCAGGAAACCAGTGTCTGCAATAGAGTTTGCTGAATGGAAATTTCTAGCAGGGCCTTTGCTGTAATGCACTGCAGTTGGCTGCTGTCGGGCTATCGAGTCCAAGTCATCAGTGGCATGTGTGTTGGTCTGGGTCATCCACTCTGGACTGCTGTTGTTCTGGTGCAGCAACAAATTCGATGTTGTTATCACATTCGAAGAGCGGGTAATGGAGGTGGTCGTGGAAGGTATGCCACAGACAAGGTCTACTCATTCTCTTCCAGGAGCTGCCAGGATGGGCACATTTGTGCAGTTTGCATTACCAGTTCCTTTGCTTGGCATTCCATGTAGTTTCAGTGTATCCGAACACTGATTCTGCTGTTAGCGCTGCATTGGTTGTCACTGTGATCCATTCTTTGCAAATTTATTTCCTGCGTAGATTATCGAACTGGTAATGTTATTGCTTTGCAGAGTTAAGCACAGTCAAGGCCAGTTAGCTTGTTTGCAACCACCTTCATCAACTGAGCACACAATTTGGATGGCCTACAGTGCCCTTTGCACAGTTATTCGGATGGCTTTGCTTGGGCAGTGTTTCTCCTTGTAGAAATGCGTATGTTGTGCTAGACTTTCCTCCAGATGTGGTGAGGTGCATGAGACCAGGTAAGCGTTTCAATGCAAACAAGCTTTGAGATGGCAACATTTATCTGTGCTTGTGTTGGACTGGCAGGAAAAGGAACTGGGATTGCTGTGCAAAGTCCACATGAACGATTCCTTCATTGGGTTCTGTTCTGTTGGCATTCAAGCAATCTCCAGGAACATTTGCTGTGTATGTACAGGCAGGTCTGCTGTTCCCACATAGGGCCCATGGGCCTTTCAATTGTTCGATATGTTCACAGAATGCACTTGCGCAGATGCTTTTGTTGCATAATTTGTTTTCAACTGTATGTGTACAGACTTCAAGAAGCGAGAAGTTGACCGAATGGAGAGCTGCTTGGTTGTCAACATTGTAAGTCCCTTGATAGCCTGCCATTTGTGCCTGTAGCATCCTGTTTTCTGTCCTTGTGTAAATGTTCTTGCTGTGTGTGCTATGGATTGCGCTGACGCCAGTGTACGGATATCTTGCCAACGGATTGTTACTGCAGCAAGCTCTGCCGTCCTGTGCGGTGGACAGTTCGAACGAATTGCTGTGCTACTGTGTCTGGAGGTGATGAGGGTCAGGCCTCGGTTAAACCAACGCACTCTTGAAAGAGAATCATGCATGGCTTACATGATAAGCGTTGCCAAGGGATCAAGTTGAAACACTGGCCATTGCAGTCTGTACGAGGAATAGGCGTGGGCACAAGTGTCTGCTTCTCCGGATCAGGAACAATTGACCTTTCCATGCCACCGAATTCTTCAGAGGTGATTATTGATGACTTTGTGGAAATTGCCAGGATGTGACGGACAACCATCGGGAGGCTGCTTCTGCAGCTCCCCACGCCCTGCTGTTGTGCAGAATGGTGAGGCGACTACATTGGCCAGCTGCACAAGGGGAGGGGGGGACAATACTTCGGAAGGTCTCAGACGGAACAGGGACCGCTTGGCGGGTTCGGGGGATGAACGAGTTGGGTATTGTCGGCATTAGCTGGGGTGAAACGGCAGTGGAGGAGAGTGGGGCAGTCCCTCTGTTTACCAGCACACCACCGTGTCGGGCATCCAGCGAGGGGATATTCTTTGGTCGAACGCAGTGCAATGGGGCGAGTTGCTTACCCATTCATGGTCCCGTGAATCTATTAGCATTGCAACAACAGGCTGGCTGTGGAATGCCTGCGAGTTTTGTGCTTGATGAGCATATGTCCGATTGCTCGCCAGCCGGTGGGCCGAGGCGGCCAGACATCTACGAGCAATGCACTGGACCGCAAATGCTGGTGCATGTCCCAACATGCACGCAAGCCATCGTGCTGTCTGAATGGCGGATGCCAAGATGCCCACGGCGGCACGAGATGCCATGTGGCGATCTGAAGACGCGCTGTGTTGTCGCTGTCCAGATCCAATGGATCATGAAATACCATCCAAAGCGATCAAACAGCGGTGTGCGGCAGTTGAAAAGACGGGATGTTGCCCACACAATTTTGGGGCTTTGAATGGCGGTGTGGCGCCCAGCAACAACACTGATTGGGAGATGGTTGCGTTGCACCTGCCCATGGCCAGAAGGAGCCTGGCCGCGCCCTGTTCGCAGCAATTTTCTCCGCGCCACCTCGTTTTGATCCGCTGTGAAGGCGCCTCCCAAAATGTCCCACATGCGACACAATCTGCCTGTACGCGCCACATTCCCCATCTGGGCGATGGGATGCTTGGGTGCTGACTTGAGACGCTTGCAAGCTGGTGTCCCTTGGATAAGTCTTGAAACTGCACGGCCAACATGTGGGATTGGCTTTGAAGTCGTGAAGCCTTGGCCTCGTGCAACTGTCCGATGACTTGTCTATATTTTGGTTGTGGGGAGGGGCCGAGTCACGTTATGTTGAACCGCAACTGAATTATTCAGCTGTTCGCAGAAGGTCTTCCCTTTTGGACATTGCATTTCGAAGTGGTGAAATGCCTCCCTAGCATATTGCACCCTCCCTGCTCATGCGAATCGATGTCCACGTTACTATTCAAAGTCTGTACAATTACGGAAGAAGGGGAGGCGGCTGTGGTGTGGTGTGGTGTGGTGTGGTGTGGTGTGGTGTGGTGTGGTGTGGTGTGGTGTGGG